CCTGAAAGGTGAATTTGGGTTTGAATAAGAAGTTGTACATCCAGAGGAAAGCTCATTTTGCAGTGTGGTCATCCTAAGTTTTAGCTGAGGAGTGGATTCATGTCCTTGGAAGGCACAAGCCTGCCTAATGCCACCTCGTGCCCATCTCTCCACATTCCCAGTTACAGGATGGAATTGCCTCTGCTTCCGTGGGACAGTGGGATCTGCTGCTTGTTTATCACACCTGGTGGAGAGCAGCATCGATCCCTCGTGTCCTTGTGAGGCTGTGCTTGGGATGCCAAGGCCTGCAGGGTTCCACCTGTGCCGTTTGCCTGCCCTGGAGTGTGGGAGCAGGGCCTAAGCTGCCGTGTTTGAGTTCTGCTCTGGGGTTAAGGCCCTTCAGGTGCACTCTTGGTAGCTGTAGAGTTAATTCTGTCATTTGACAAGGCCCTCCTGCTGCAGTAACTGCATTGCCCTTCATCCCTAGTGAGCTGGACTGTTGTGGCTGTGTTCCCTCCTGTCTGTGCCATCCCTCCTGCTAGGACAAGGGCCAGCCTCATGTAAAGAGCCCCCTCTGAGAGTGACTGATAGCCAGTAATCCCTTTAGAAAAGTCTGTGTGTTGTGAGTGTTGTGCTGCAGAGCCCACTGTTACTAAATTTTACATTTCACCCTTGGCTTTTTGCCAGGTCCCATGGGAACCTTGGTTTCCAAGAAGCAGTTACAGAAAGGGAATAGTGGCTGCTCTTTGCTAGGGATCTGTCAGGCAGTGCTCATCCTTCCCTGGGAGGAGAGGGAGGCAGCCCTGGAAGGAGTGTTAGGCTCAAATCCTCCTAAGCAAGACTCAACAGCAGCAGGGATAGTTTGTGGTACTCAGTTAAAATAGTCCCTTGTGTGAGCACTTCAGGTCCTGAGGCTCTCACTGCCTTTGCTCCTGTGACCCTTTGTACCTCTCCGAAGCAGAGCAGGGTGTGCATGACTTCAAGGTAACGTCAGGTTTAGTCCCAGACTAAATCTCCAGGCTTGGGAAGAGGGACCTGGCAATTGAAGGTCCTGCCATGATTAGTAGAGAACAGGACAGTGACTAAGGACCCAAGTCCTTGGGGTAACATGCAGGTTACGTGATGTCCAGGCCATTGCGCTGCCACCCTTTGATAAGGCTTGGCTGTGCTTTTTGGTTTTGCTCTTCTTGTTCCCTTCCCATTTGTCAGCATCAGGTGCTGTTCATAGGTGCTGGAGAGCTGCCTTGTAAGAGCTGAACAGTGTGAGGATCCTTGTGCTCCTGCTGAAGAGGGATGTAGTAACCAAAGGCAAGAGACCCATGTGCTTGGCACACAACTGAGGATCGAGTGCTGTAACCTTTGAGATGCAGTGGCTGGGCACAAGGGCACGCTGGCTTTACCTTGCTCACTGGATTTGGCCCTCAGCTTCTTGAAAAATTTGTGTTTAGGTTAATTAATACACATGGATCAGCAGTGCAGGTGATTATGAAACTTTCCATTTATTCCTGAGCTGTTACATTCAGGAGTAATATGCAAGTAGAGTAAGTTATGCTTGTTTTGTTTCTCTTCTGCTCGTTCCCATCTGTTAAAAACAAACCCTTAAACAAAAATGAAGCTATTCCATCGTCTTTCATCTCTGCCAGGCTGCTGTTAGAAGACAGCTTTGCCTTTATAAAGTACTGAGGTCCAGCCCATTTTTATTTTAGGATAGAAGAGACATAAAGCTTGCTTCACTTCCTGCAGCTCCTGCTGTGTGTAGCCACTTGTGGTCCCCAAACCCTGGGCTGCTGATGTGAAACTAACAACTTAAACGGTTGTGATTATTAACAGGAAGAAAGTGCCCGAGGATATTTGTCATCTCTTTTGTGTGAACTGTGTTTCTTCCATTACAGCTTGATGTCATTCTCTGTGGCATCTTTAACACCTGCTGTTTTTATAGTCTACGCTTATTTGATTGAAAGCTTCTTGGCCAAGAATCTAGGCTAAAATTTGCTCAAATAGCTTCAGTCGAAGTCTTACTTTCATGAGTTACTTGGGCTTGTGAGGTACCAGTGTGGTCCCAGAAATTCCCCATTTCAACTTACCTTCCCAAGATTCCTTCTTTTTTACTGTTAATGTTTTCGGGTTTAGAAGGAGAAGTTAGTATTTGGGACAGAAAAGGAGCCCCTTGAAGGTGGTGATTGTTGTTTTATGGTAGTGATGTCCTGGATGGGGTTTCCATTGCCACATGCAGCTTTTGTAGTGAAATATGTGCCCACTGAGCTGTGTGGGTGCCTTTTATGAACTATATAAAATCTAGACTGGGGCATGCCCCACTCTGAGGAAGTAAAACAAATCCCCAGGTTAAGGTTTCTTTTTTGGGGACTGTCAAACCCTCTTCTTGGGGCAGGATCAGACTTTCTGCTTTATGTGAGTGGATGCTGTGCTTGAAATAATTGCCTGGCTAGTCCCATATGGCAACTTAAAAGTAGTGTTTCTGTCTTTCTGCTGTAGTAATATTGACAGGAATCTTGTCTTATCCTATGAATTCTTCAGTATTTCCAACCTATCAAAGTGTGTGAGTCTGTCAGACAGTGTAGTTGTTGTTTAAAATTGCTGCTGAAAATTAAAGGAAGCATTAATGCAGGAAACGTAGTGGCGTGCAGAGGTTTTGTAGAAAACAGTGACTGTGCTGTTGAACAGTATCTGCTCTGTGCAGCTTGCAGGCTGAAACGTCAGAATTTCTATTTCAGGGCTGTGGTAAATTGCTTGAAGCTTTTTAGGGCTGGACCAAGCATCAACACAACACGTCTTCCAAGTTTCTGTAACAGTCCCAGTAAAGCAGTATCTAAATATAGTGCTGATGTACAAGTGTTCCATTCTTTTCCCCTGTTGTGTTTTACTTGCTTCTGGTTGTACGTGTATTACATTTAAAGATGGTTAGGCTTTTCTCTGAAGTTTTCACTCAAAATATTTGACTGTCTGCAAACATGAGATGAAAGGCAAGAGATGAAATACGTTTCCTTTAAAAGGAATGAAGATTGGAGGCAGCTGTGCTGCATGGAGAAGTGCAGCCATCCTTCTGGGCGTGTGCTCCCTTACTGGCACAGAAATTAGCTGTATATACAATTTACTCAGTTCAGAGCAAGTATCTGGGCCTGGCTAATCTTTTTCCCTTTCAAAATGGTCCAGTCAAGTCAGAAACCATAGCCTGGATCCTCTCCCTCTGACAGGGGGAGCATAACTGTGAGGATTTCTTCTGTGGACAAGTGATTGATCCCCTTCCAGTAAGCAGTTTATCCCATCTAAGATTTTTGTTTGCTTCCGGACATGCCTCTGGACTATATAAGGAATTTAGGTTGACATAATTTCTAAATCAGTTCCTTGGGGTAGGTGGGGTTAAAGTAACTTCTGCTGTGAATTTCTATAGCCCCACCTCTGTTAATTTGAATTGAATGAAGCCAAAGAGTTGTTTAGGTCTATAGTCTAATATTAGGTCTATATTCTATATTCTTTCTAAGGTGTTTGGTTAAGGTGCCAAGACCATTTGTGTATTTGTGTTGGCACCAAGTTCTGTTACCTCTTGCCTGACATAAAGGGTTTTTGGAAGCTTGGTGTCTTGAAGATTTTGGCTCTTATCTCAAATATTTGAAGCTTTTCACAGTGACAGGTTGCCCTCCATAGAATTTCTCTTGGTGCTCCTGTGTTTGCAGAGCTGTTCTCTCACGGTACCGATTGCAGCATCAGTTGATGCAGAACATGTCACAGGCAGGGTTTCCAAGGTGCTGCTGCGGTGCCAGTGCCAGGCCAGCTCACTGCAGCGCTCAGCCAAAGCCAGGGCTGGGATTTGGGGTCCCTGGCACAAGGGGAGCTGCTGCCCATCCCCAGCCACCCTCGGGGAGCTGCCCGGGCACTGATGTGGGTGCGCTGGGGTTTGAGAGCTCCTGAAAACCGTCCCTGTTCCTGCTACTCCCACATACTTTCCTTTTTTCCTGCTTTGTTCTGTAGCAAAATGTTGCTTCTAAAGGGGGGAGGGGGGAGATCCCGGGCTATTATCTGCTAAGTAGGTCGTAATTCTGGTAAATAATTGATTTTTTTTTTTCAGGCTTGAAATCAGAAGCAGGCCTTAAGTGCCAGTGTCAGACTACCGTGATTATCACTCCTGGAATTTTGGTGCTTCAGCTTGAAGGATAGTTGTCTGGCTCTTTTGGGAGGGGTGTGCCACTGGAAATAAAAGGAGAAAGCAATTCCAAAGCCATATGGAGAAAGCGTTTCTTTTGCTGCTGTATTGGTTTTAAAGTTTTCTTACTTTAAACTAGCTCCTGTGAGAATTCTCTGCTTCTGTTATGCTCTGGAATAGCTGCTCAGACTCTTCACCTGTTTTTATTAAGCAGTGGAATTTGGAAATGAAAGTGTTAACAGCAGCGAGCATCATCATTGGCTGTGTCTGCTCTGTATGTGACTGTCCATGCTGTACTGCTTAATCTTTTAAAATCTTACCCTGCTGTGCAGACTGCTCAGTACGAGTCTGCTGGGGATTCCTTGGGTTCAGCCTGTGTTTTGGCAGACAAAATCCTGCTCACAGATAGCTGGGACAACTGATCAGTCTTGTTCTGTGGGGTGTATATGGATATATATATGTGTGTGTGTTTATGTACAGACACTCGGTGTATCTATTTTGTGGTTTTTAACTCTGTGTCCAGAGTGTTTCCTTAACCAGCTTTTTTCACCTCAAGGGAAAGAGGTCTTGTGCAGGGATGTGGGGTGTGGAGACACACTGCCCTGAATCTCTGTTTATTTTGTGACTTGCCTGGGGCTGAGTCCTCACTGTGGGCAATCCTTGGCTCCATCACCTGCAGTACAGCAATAGTGCAGAGGCTGCTCTGGGGCCCGCAGAGGACAGAGCTGTTTTCACCACAGGTAAGTCCTTCTCCTGCTTTGCCCTCTCCTGCAGCATCTGAGCTCAATTGCAGCTTCTGGGTGCCCTTGAAGAATGGGGTGTGTGTGTGTGTGTGTGTGTGTGGGTGTGTGTGTGTGTGTGTCAGTCACAGCTCTCTGTTCAGGCAGCCAGGCTCTGGTCCTGCCTGGCTCTGTGGATCCCTGCAGAGCCAAGCTCCCCTTGAAATCCTGGGGAGCTGCAAGAGCTCAGTTCTTGGCCTTGGTGCAGAGTTACTGAGTGGAGCTGCTTTGTGACTTGCTGGGCAGGAGAACACTCGGTCTGCTTCGGGAGCTGCTGTCTGAGCAGGAGCTCTGCCTTGTGTGTACAAGCCTGGGGACAGAACAAAGCTCCTGGGGGACACCATCATCTACACAGGTTGTTTTCTTGTACTTGGGACTGATGTGGTCCTGTTTTCCTGTGGCTGAAATTCATTGGCATTTTAGTGCTTCCCCTTGGCATGGCTTCAAAATCCCTTGTTGGCTCATTCATGCTGTGGGATGGCAGGGCTTAATGAAGTGGTGGTGTAACACATCTGTGTTACCAAAATAAGCTCCCTCTTATCCCATGTTTAATAAAATCTGAACAGCAATGAATCAGTCAATGATGCTGAAGTGTAAACCAGCATTGTTGGTGTCTGATGAAGTACACCATGAGCTCAGACTGAGAGGTCTTTCCTCTCATCTGGTTTTCAGCCTCTCAGAGAACTCGGGCACAACTGTGCTGCTTGTCCTTGAATCGTGTTTTTCTAAATTTACTCTTTCTAAAAATTAGAGGAGGACTTCCACTTCTAAAAGCAGGTTCCACACAGAAGCACACAGTTTGTGAAAAATGTGGTGTGGTATGTCAGCTGAGAACTTCCTAACCCAGAGCAGAACTTGACCTTCATCTTAAACTAGTAGTTTCAAGAGGAAAGAGATGGAGAAAATTTGGTGTTTATTAATGCTGATAGGAAGCTGTGTTCCACCTTCAGCATCTTTAATTCAAAGAAGTTCCTCTAACTACCTTGCCATGATTATGAATGACACAAAAGTGTTTTTTCTCCTCCAGCCGGATGACAGGAAGACACTGAGCTCGGGCAGCAGCTGTGTTCAGAAAGGGTTGTCAGTGGTGTAGGCAGAACCATCTGCCTAGCAAGGCATTTAGCTTGGGTTGCTTTTTCTAGGCCAAGATAGTAAATCAATAGCTTATTTTTCACAGTTAGGAGTAAGATGTCAATGGGTGGATTTACAGTGTAAACAGGAAGAGGGCAGCTACCTTTATTGGCTTCTAAGTGTCCCAGCTGCACTAGTGAGGAAACAAAACAATATTGCAAAAAAGTAAAGCAAAACCAGCTCATCCTGAAAGAGGTTGAAGATCTAGAAACAGAACAGTGTTCTTATCAGACATTTTACTGTTTCTTTCAAATAGACTTTAATACCCCCCACTGCCTAGGGCTGACCCTCCCTTCCCTTCTCACAGAACTGTCAGTTCAGTTAAACTCTTGTTTGAACAGGCCCTTTCCTCTCCACATGCCAGGACTGTTGGTCTGCTCTAGTTAAATACAGGAAAAAGTGTATATAGAACTGGGGAGGGGTTTTAAGAGATCATGGGCTGAGAATTGCTCCATTTTGTTTCAATTAATTTTACCATCTACTTCTCTGGAGATTCGGATTGCCAAATGTTGTTTGAAGCGGCTGCAAAACTCAGAGACAACTGTGAAGAGCAAAATAGTAAATAGTATGCTGGTCATGGTTGGAATTTTCTTCCATTCACCTGGCAGATGACAGAGCCACCTGGGTGTGAGAGCAGCAGCCCTCCCAGTGCAGTCAGCACATGCAGTTTCCATTTGGCCTTTGTTCCTGATGTTGTTTTTTTTAGAACTGAAATGAGGGCTGTAGTTTGAGCACAGCAGTAGTGCTGACCTGAGCAGTCACATTTGCTGCATCCCACCTCTGTGCTCTTACACTGCTGCATTGTGTGGAGACATCAGTGAAATGGGATAGGAATTGCTGGGGCTTATCAAATAACACTCTTTCCAGTTATTTTTAGCTTAGCCAGCTCCTACTGTGCCATGGTCCTTGCAAATGTGATTTAGGGGACAGTGGGTGGACATGGATGGGAACCTACACAGGGGAAACTGCTTGAATCCTAAAACTTCAGCACTCATAATGAAGGCCCTGCTTTTGTTAGGATATATTTTTGATTTCCAGGTACTTCTCCTTACAGCTGTGCATGGTTCATGGTTGTTTACTTGTTTGGTTTTGCTCTCGGTGTTTTATACCTTATTTTTCATAGAAACTTTTGCTCTCTTTTAGTCAGTTTGCACCTCTGATCTAGTCAGTGCTAAAGCTCCTGATGCCTTTGGCACAAAGCCACAGGTACTTCTGAGTGTATCTGTCCTTGTATCTCTGTGCTGAAAAGTCTCTACATGTGAACAACCAGGCATAAAACTTGCTTTCTGCCTGTTAGACTTGTGGTAAATGAGGACATGGTGCACAAACCTGAGCAAGGAGTGGAAAAGAAAACTATAAAGGTGTTCCAGTGTGCCTTGGGATTTCCTTTCCAAGGACATCCAGTGGCCTGACTGCCAATATGAAATGAACATGGAAACCTTTCCATCCTGCCTGAGAAAACATAGATCAGCAGAGGAATCTAAAGACACAGATGCTGTAAGGAAAGAGATTCATTTGCTCTTCTCTCTAAGGCAGGACCCTGAGGTATTCATCCATGTTATGGGGTGTAATGTTGTGCCATGATCACTCAGTGGTAAATGGGAGGAACAGTGAAAAAAAAATATGAAAAAAGGTAACAGGAGTTTGACTGCTTGGGCCCCGGCCTGTGCTGAGTATTCACACTCTTCCTTCAGTGGCTGGTCCCTGTGTCATTCAGCCTTGACCAAATTTCTCTGTCTGTGTCTATTGGGAAGATATTTGCAGCCATTCATGCTGGGAACATTCCTCATTCGTGTATGTGTGTGTTTGCTGTTTTGGACTCTAGGTAGGAGAAATGAAACCGTGTAAGTGTCTGGGAGGATGTGCAGCAGCCACTGGGACATAGGCACTGTCAGCTGTCACAGGGACACACTCAAGTCGTGCCTTCTGCAGTGGCAATAGGTGTGACATCATCTCCTAGTGTTAGTCACATCCCACTGCTTGTGCTATATCCTAAAATTTACAAATGGCTGTGGAGACACCCTGTATTTGAAAGGCCACATCTTCTCAAGGTGTAACCTGTTCTCTTCCTAATCACAGCTGTTGTTATCGGTTGGACTCCCCTGTCTGGTTTGTGGTGTGCAGTGGTTGTGCTTCCCTCCCAGTATTTCAGCTGGATTGAAACTGCTCAGAGTGTCAGATGGCTTGGAGAGATGGGAATTTACACCTCTGCAGCTCCTGCCGTGCTGCCTGCCGTGCTGTGTGTGTTGTGCAGGCCTGGCTGGCTGTGAGGTGTGTGTGATTCCTCAGCGTGCAGCACACCGCGGCTGCCGGCCGGAGCTGTCGGGAGTAAAGATGAGCAGCAGGGAAGTTGTGCTGGCAGAAGGGAGATCCTCGGAATTTGCATGCTACAGAGCAGTCTTGTCTGGACTCTGCTGGATAATCAGGTTAGCTTCCTGGATTTTTCTAATGACTCTCAGTAGCTGTAGTGAGCAGCTCCTTCTGTCCTGTGGGAGGATGCCTCAGGTTTCCCTGAGGTGGAGAATGGCCTCAGTAGCCCCTGCTTTGACATTAGGGGTGGATGATGGAACCTCTTCTGCATGGGCATTAGATCTGCCTGGGTGTTTAATCTGTCCCCACAAATGCCAATGAGAGCAAATGCAACATGTCCCAGTAACTGCTACAAACAGATCAGACCTGTCCTCTAGTCTCTGCATGAACTCTTGATGGAATATATGGGCAGATTAAAGAACTCTGATCTTCTTTTTTAGATGTTTAATGATCTGGGTTTGACACACCTAAAAGATTAAAAGTGGACTGCAGTTAATTCATCTCCTAAAGACTTAAAGACGCTGTCTGCTATGGGGATAAAGCTCATCTGTGGGAGAGACAGAAGTTTCTTGGAGGCTGGTTAACATCCATGGCCTGGGATCCCCCGGGGGAGGGAGGGTAGAGAAAACCACCAGCTGTCTTGCTGCTTCCATATGCAAGGTACATTGCTTTCTCCTCCTTCCTGCTCAAAAATAAGATGCAGTTCTCGATCTGTACATGCACACACACACTTGACTCGCATGTGAGGACCTTACCCTTCCTTAGCAAACATCGAAGCGTCGTGTAAAATTTACATGTGACAGGTCTTGTTCCTGCAGCCACTCCCCATGGTCGAGTTACTGGAATGAGAGAGCAGAGGATGCAAACCTGGAATGGATCTTGGTGACTGTGGGAAAATCTGCTGAAATTTTGTATTCACAAACTCCTTTTTTGCATGCTGCATAAGCTGCAGTTGTCATTCTAGTGTCCAGCAATGTATTTAGAAATGTCCCTTCCTGGGGTGCTGCTTCCCTTCTGTTCTGTTCCCTGGAGAGGGTTTCACGTCTCCTGCAGGAGGGACAGTGCAGCCTGTGTGAAACTGCTTGTTTAGCTCTGGGTTTGAGCTGATGGCTGTTTCCTGGGGTGGGCTGTGTTGTGTTTCAGTGCAGTTCTGCTTCTGTAGCCCATGCTCGCAGTCAGCTTGTTCAGCAGTGTGAGGGATCATCCTCTGGCACTTTGAATGGCCAGTGAGGGGGTGCCTGGTAAGAGTCTGTCAGCACTGACAGCTGCCTTCACTTATTTCCCACTTCATGTGCCTAAAGGAGAAGCAAGCCATAGACAGGCTTGGAGCTAACTTGGCATGGTTTTGTCTTTGATTTTACCTCGTACTGAAGAAAGAGTTTACAAATTAATGGGACTTTTTGTTGCTAAATGAATTGGTTTTGTACTTGAGTGGGAGCTTCAGGGTTCACTAAACATCCTTACATGTGGGTGTACTGTCTTTACACAGAGAAGAGATAGAAAGGATGAAGAAAATAGTTTGTTTTGAATCTGTTTAGCATCCTAGCAGAGCCTTTTCTTCATCCATACAAGAGAAATAAAGTTGTAGGGATTTGACGTGGCAAACATCTCTTGTTCTTTTTCTTTTGATATTTGATCTTTGTGGCCTGGGGGACAGGCTCCTGGTATAGGTAAACACCATAATTATTATTTATGGATCTCAGTTTTGTGTGAAATTGTACATACTGAGTGTGCTGTTTTCCTGGGTTTGGAGACGATGATTCAGGATATGTCAAGGAAATAAGCAAGGTGTTTAGCTTTCCTTAGCTTAGTTATTACACCTTTTAGAGAATGGTGCTGTATTCCCCAGGCAACTGCATTCACAGCCCATCCTCACTGATGTTCTTCTGCACTGGGCCTGGATCCCTGATCCTTCTCCAAGTAGCCTGGCCAGCACTAAGAAATAAAATGACATGTTTCTGTATTGTTTATCACCAAGTAAACAGTGATATGCAAAAGCTGGAGCTAAGGCTGGAAGGCACATTAGTAACTCAAAGGTTACAAAGGAAAAATAAAAATAGAAGCAATGTTGCATTCCAGTAATTTATCCCTAAAGCAGCCACGTGTAAATCCCAGGAATTGCCTAAGCTTCAGCCTGAAGGAAAATGAAGCAGCGTTTTGCTAATATGTTCTTCAGTTGCAGTAGAAGCTTTTAAGTGTACCCACCCCATATCTACTGTGCATGTATCCTTCCAGTGTGGATTTCTGAGCCATGAACTAGATCACAGAGCTGATCCAGCTTAGAAGGGAAGCGTCAAAGATATTTTTCTTTGAGCTGGCTGAGTTCTTTATCTGGACCACAGGCATCTGTGGGGTTGCAGAACTAAGGGGATAAGAGGGGAAAGGGCAGTGAAGTGGTTTATGGCTTGGTGGGGGAAACCTAAAACCCTACTGCTGCCAAGACAGTGCATTGTCAAACCATGGCCTCACACATTCCCTGGCGTAGAAACACAAGGGTGCAAACTGCCTCAGCTCTGTTCTGCTCTGCAGCTGTGGGGATGTTTTTGGAGTGAGTGTAGGCATTACAAACTTGTGCAAGCCTTGGTACCATTCACAGAGAAGCCACAGTGATGTGGGGCTTTGGCAGGATGCACAGCTCCCTTCCCCCTCCAGGATTCTAGGTATTTACTTAGGCAGGCAGGTCTGAGCTGCTGTGGCTTCACTGCTCTTTTAGCAGGATTAGCTGGAGCACAGCTCGCTCAGAATCTTCTCTGCATGCTGCTGTTAAGCCTCTCAAGCAGCTATGGATGTTGTGCTGCTGTGAAAGTATGACACGTGCATTTGAACCATTGTGTGGCCGTGGATTAGAAGCAGATAATCTTTCTTTTTACTTAGAAGTTAATTTCTTTTACCCTTCCTGCTTTCACATTAGGTCTATGATTTCATATTTCCAAAGAATGAATGCAGCACCCAGCAGGAAGGGTGTAGGCAACAGGACAAGGGAGCAGTGTTGCTGTGCTCTCTCTGAGTGCCAGTGAATTTGTGACTGTGAATTTGTTAGATTCTTCCTTACCCCCCATCCAGGAGAAATTTGAAGCAGTGAGGGAGGGAAGCAGTTTACAAGAGGGGAGACACAAGGTCACAGAGGAAAGGAATATTATGTTTGAGAAAAACAAAAGCAAATGAGAATGGGACAGAGACAAAAAAAAGGTGAGAGGATGGAAGCAGTAACTGGGGAGGGAAATGCTAGAACAGACTCATATCAGCTGAAGCAAAGCAAGGCCAGGCTGTTGCTGTCAGAACCAAAGGTGGAAGTAAATGCTTGAGTGGTTTTTTGCAGAATGTGTGAATTAATGATGAGCCTTTGTAGCCCCAGGTGGTTCACAGCCCGTTGTGCTGGTGCAGGAGAGTGGTGCTGTTAGAGAATGTCAGAGGGACAAGGGTAGAAATAATTCCTCTTGTGTGCTGGGAGGGCTCATTTCTGTAAGTCACAGGTGCTGCTCTTCTCTCTGGGATGAGATCTCCTTCAAGTTACCTAAAGAGGAGGAGAAGGGGCTGTGCCTGGTGGTGAGATGAGAAGCAGAACACACGTGGAGCTGTGTCCTCGGTGTCTCTCAGCACACTGTGTTGAGATCAACCTTGTTTGCTGCCTTTTTTTTTTTTCTAGCAGTTATCTCTTGTTGCTGTAGTTCATCTTCCTCTGGCCTTGATGGCAAAGTTATTGATAGTAACTCTGAGACTGGCTGGCCCTGAAATGAGAATAAGAACCCTCTTAATGCTCACCTTGACAGAGACACTGGCTAAGAAAGCAAGTGCTCTTGTTTGAGCCCATGTGCTGTGCCACGGAGCCCAGCAGCACCCAGAGCAGCTGGAAGTGTCAGAGCAGGTGAGCTCCTGGCTCTGATCTCGGTCCTCTGGTCCTTTGCTCTCAGGTGGAGGCTGAGCAGCCTGTGAGCATTGTGCTGCGCTGAGATGTGAATAACCCAGTTTCCCTAGCAACAGCAGGCTCTTTAATCACAGAGACACAAGGCTACCTCTGTTCCTGGTGTTCAGGCTTGCCGAGTGTATCTGGCTATGGCAGTACTTCGCTTTTCTTGGAAAAAATGGCAAATAAAAGCAAGAAGATCTTTCTGCCTTTGAGATAATTAAAATCTCTATCGGTGGATTTCAGTGCTGTATTCAGCAATAATAGAAAGAAGAGGGATTATAACTACTTCTGAGCTTTTTAATGTGTGAAGAATCCCTGGAGGATACAGAAATAAAGTTTTAAATTCTGTGTGGGTCTTTATGAACAGATCTTACAGCAGTCTGTGACAGTGATAGATTCATTCCTTGGTGAAATGACTTATTTTCTATTTTATGGCTAGGGAGACAAAGTGATTCAAAGGTAGACTGAATCTTTTTGCAGAGTTAAGAATAAATATCCCTCTGAGCTGATCCTCCACCTGGAGTTTCCTCCAGTTTCAGGTAAAGGTTTTCCTGTGCAGTAGGAGACAGAACACGTTATGGGTGGTAGAAGTGTGAAGCTTCTGGTTTTTAACTGGAGAAAGTGAGGAAAGTGGAAATACTGTTACTCACTGCAAGGCTTTCTGCTAATGTATTTTAGTCTGCATTTACTCCCCCACTAACAAAAGTGGAGCAAAATACTCATTTTGAGAGTGAGCACTGGGAGTGAAAAAAATATTCCTGCCTTAATTTCCACACAGCAACTTGGTCTTGTTATTGCAGGAGTGTGGAGAAATTGATTTGGATAAGAATAGTTTGAAGAGACTTCTGCAGGAAAAAGAAACCCTTCCTTAAGTAGGCTTGGGGCCAGCAGAAGTGCCCAGTACTGGTGTTCCCCCTTGTTCAGTCATCAGTGATCTATCACTGGTTTCTTGGGTTTTCACATTTTCAGCAACTCCCATTCAAACTGCTCTTTAGCAAATCAACTTCTATGGTGTTTTCTAAATGGCTGTGGACTCTGAAAACCTCTAACATCTAGACCAAAGCTCCTTCCAGAGAACAGATACCACCTTCCCTCTGCCCTTTGTTGCTGTGATTGTGCACAATCTAACGAATCTTTGGAGGAGCTCTGGGAGCTTGAGCACAAGGTAGTGACTCGAGCAGGTGGGTGACATAAAACTCAGTGAGTTTGTTAAAATAATACTGCCACAGTCCTTGGGCAGCCTAAAGGCCTCGTACCAGGCTGTTACTTAGCTGGGTGGCATTTGGTACAAGCTGAGACAGAGCTCACATCTACACTGAGTTTATTGTTGGGTTTTCAGTATATTGTTTGTGTAAATTCCCCAGACCAGCTCTCCCTCCTGAAAAAGCCACATAGATCAAGTTTTATTCTGTTCCACATAAAGTTCACATCTTTTACTGAAATGAGTCATGCTTTAACTGAGTTTACTGTGAGGGAGGAAAGTGGGCTTTAAAATGTTACTCCTCCACCCTGCCTTAGTGATGTATAACAGGATTATTAGTATGCTTGGCAGCAGCTGCTTATTATTTTCACAGAACCTGGGTATTTATGAAAACAAGAAATTGCTTCTGCTTGTGTTCAAGTTTAATTGTTTTTCCTTTTTTCATGGCTTTGTCTTCCATAAGGCTCACTGGCTTCTGTAAAGGCAGATCTAGCTTATCTCCTTGGGGTTATTTTTCAGTCTGGGGAGAAGGGTGCATTCTGTGAGTTGTAGCTGAAAGAGGAGGAACAACTCTACCATTTTGTGGAGGGTGGCCCCTGCATGGCTGTTACTGTCACACACAGGACACTCCTGGGAGTTGGTGTTGGCAGGTGAAAGTGCTTCACAGGCCCATGGAAGTTGTGGTGCAGTGTCACTGTGTAGGCACCAAATTTGGCTCCTCTGTGTATATTTCTTTGTGCAGAGAGGTGAAAAGCCTTTTAGCTTGTGGCAGAAGGAGCTGCTCAGTGTGTGTGTCCTTGGTTTTTCTGCAGGAGCAGTCTCTGTATGCAGCAACTAAAGATGCCAGAACCAGTTTTGCTGCTCATTTCTCCTGAAGAAGTTCATTGCTGTCTCATGCAACAGTGGTTAACTTGACTCCTCATACCACCATCCTTTATTGGTTATGTTTTGGTTGTGTTGGTTTTGGTTTTTGGGGGCAGGGGAGACAGGCTGTATAGAAGGGAACAGTGTGGTGATTTGTTTATTTCTTTAAGGGGTTAAGCTCAGAATACAAGGAGAGGCAGCCAACAGAACAGGACCTTTTAGGATTTTATTTTTGGCAGTGTGCTGGTTCACTCAGCACACAGGACCTTTCTCTCCTGCTCTTTCTGTTGCTGAGAGGAGAGTTACAGTTCTCCCCAGAGTTATGTATTACCTGTCTTTCCTAAACTGGCAGGGGCATCATCTGCTCTTGATTGACACAAAACCCAGAGTCTGTTACCCAGTAGGTTCCTAAACCCAGACTGGTGACTTTTATGGAGCCAGCAAAAGCATTGATTCTGATGCCAATGCTTTTGGAGGAAAATGTGAAGGAAGGTTCTGTAATTAAATGACCGCTAATGCAAGAAAGGACTTTGTCTTTTAGGACTTAGAATAAATGAAATGAACTTTTGGTGACGACATGAATTTAGTTATATTTACTCCTCTCCTTGGTCTGTATTTAGCCACGGCTGACCCTGGGTGATGTGAGCAGCGCTGCCCTGCCCGTGTTGCCCGTGCCCTGCAGGGTGAGCAGAGCCTGTGTTGTGTTTTGCAGATGCCCCGTTTGGGGGGACCCCGCCGGGCTACGCGTACGATGCTGACCGCGCCGAGGAGCAGAGGCGGCACCATGACATGATGCCCTACATCGACGACTCGCCATCCTCCTCTCCACACCTCAGCTCCAAGAGCCGCGGCAGCCGGGACACGCTGTCCTCGGGCTCTCTGGAATCCACAAAATCTGTGAGTCCTTCCCTGCCCTCCTGCACTCAGCAGAGCCCTGTGGGTTTGTGAGGGCCTCACCTGGGGGCTGCCGGTGCTGTGGGACATCAGCCCATGTAAGGCAGCACTGCCAGGCTGGACACTGAAAGCTCAGCTGAGGCTTTTAGCTCATGCTAGGACTAAACTTCAGGGGTCAGTGGTGTGTATATGAGCCCTTTGTGCAATTTAGTGGAGAGAATTGGTGATTAATTGCAGTTGAGAAGGTCTCTAAATAGATATTTTGGAAAGGAGACTGTGGAATGTAACACATTCTTACATCTCTGCATGTGAATTGTCATTGCCTTTCACAAGGAAAATAAAAGTTATTTTCAGGTAGGTTAAGGGTTTTGATCAAGCATCTGGAGGACCTATTTCCTTCACCCTGTGAAAATGAAATAAAAGAATTAGAAGTGCCAGCTCTGAAATGGTGACTTTGGGTGGGAGATGGCCACTACCTGTAATGGATTTGACTGTTCACTAAACAGCTTTCTATATAATCAATTATAGATTAAAAATACAGAAGGGACTGCCTTGCCTAACCTGTGGCTTCACACAGCCCTTCAGTCTACCTTGCTTTGGTTTTGCTTCAGGTTCAGTAGCATGGCTATAGCTTGGAACTTTAGGAAAATTTCTATTTTTGGTTTTACAGTATTCTTGGTAGTGGGTCATCTGCATGCCTTGGTGAAGAACAACTGACTCTGCTGTTTTCACAATCCACAATGTCCCAGTTTCAGCTTGGATTAGTCCTTTTTTTTTCAACCTTTTGTTTCTTTTTATCATTTTGCAATAGATTGCAGAGCACTTGAGTCCCAAGTTGCTGTTTCCCTGAATATCTTTGTCATTTTCAAACTTTTGGGTTCCCCAAATCATTCATAAAAATGTTCAATAGCACAAAGCCAACTGTCACTTCCTTCCTACAGTGCTTCTAAGAAAATGTGCCAAACAACCTTGAATTCCCACATTGTAAATGACACTTTGAAATCTCTCATCCAAGTGTTTTAACTTATGTGTTGCCTTTATATTGTTCTTTCCTGTTCATTAAGATGTCATGGAAGATAATTATGGATATTTTAGAGATACCAGTGTACATGTAAATCAACACCATCACCATTATCAGGCAGTTTTATTTATCTTGCATCAAAAGGCAAATCTGAGAAGTTCCACAAACCATCAGTGCTCAGTGTTCATTGTACACATCCTTCTGCTCTCTGCTGGTTACTGTCCCAGCTTCTCCCAGGATGAATTCTAGGCCAAGAATCCTTCCTGATACAGTGTCCTCATTCTCTCTCATTTATAAAATTCATTGTCAAGATCTCTTAAAGCATTATGGAGTTGATATATTGTTGGTGTTTGCTTAATTTTATTTGACTATAAAGTGTGGAATCTAGTTAGCCGCTTAGGCTTTAGCGTATTCATTTTGAGATGCTTTCTTATCTCTCAAGATGAGAATTCTTGTGATATTTAAGAGGCTTTTGAATGAAGAAATTATCATCAGTAAATTCAAAAAGCTCCAAAACCATTTTAATATTGGCTTGAGATTCTCAGGTTATGTTTCTCAAGATGAAGGAAAAACATGTGACTACACATGGCTGAGAATTATCTTCAAAGAACCAGTTATGACAGTGCCTGTGACTGGAGGCCTGGAAGGGACACTGCCTAATGGTTAATCTTGTTCTTTATTTGTTTGAATATTGCTTCATAAGCATTTAACAGTAGTTAATTTAAAAGTTACTTTAATAATGCTTGAAGGCTGCTTCCTCAAAAATAATTTTTAACATAAATTGCTTCTTTCTTTTTTCTGACTATAAAAAGATGTTTCATGGCTTCCAAAAGAAAGACGTGTCCTGATACAGATTAGACTTTTAATCATGAACCTCAACTATTTCACTTGATCCTGTCTGTCATCAGTCCACGATGACAATCTCTGGACAGTCCATGACAAGTAAAAAGAGACTAATTTATATCCAGATATTTCCCAAGCAAGTTAAGCTTTCAGTCATCATGAGCTCTGAGGTGGCTTTTGCTGAGCTGTTTTCAGCTATAGTGGAAAAAGCATCAGTAACAAAATTGTCAAACACACTGAGCCAAACAAGTAACACGTGTTGGACCAGAAATACCAGGACGTGTGTCTCTTCTATTTTCTTTTGTACTAAACTTGATTAGCAGAAAACATGCTTTGTTTAGATGTGTTTGCTTCTAAAGTTGTCTTCTTGCCTTTCTGCTTTTAGCCGAGGTGCCTGCAGTTACTTGTGAAAATTTCAGATTATTTTTATGGCCAGAGTCTGGAAGTGAACTGTTTGCAGCAGCACCATGCATGCACTACATACATCGTGGCAAAACATTGAGGTTGTAAAGTCATTCAGAAGTTAAGAAGTCTTGAATCTTTATGGCAACTTTGAATTACTCAATTGGCCCATCTTTCCCGTGGGCTCCTGCACTGTGCAGTGGATAGAGTGAATGATACTGGATTCAATATTTCATCTCTGAAGTGTGAACCTTATCTGGTCTGGGTACAAAAGTATTCATTTCCAGAAACTCCAAATACAGCTGGAATGCCACACAGGTCTTAATTGTCCTTGCAGTGTTCCTGAGAGATAAGAGGATGGTATGTTCACTAACCACAGATAATCAGGGCAGACAGGTTATGGGAGAAGCATCTGCTAATTTTGGGTGTTTAATTTGAGATGTGTAATGTTCTGCAAAACAAGGTTCTGACTTTTAACATAGTTTTCTTCACATTAAAGTAAAATTAATTTAATTTCACTTTGCAACCGAGAGTTAACAGCACTTCTCCAGTCCCCAGAAAACAGAAAATGTAGCAAACAATGATATTTTAAATTTACTTCTTATAAATATAAATCTAAGTGATACACTTACCATCACACAGGCATTGCAGCATTTTGCTGTGATGTTCATCTGCCTCATCCATGAGACCTCTTGGGGACTGCATTGTTGCTATCTGAATACTGAGGGCATTTTTTCTTTGACTTATTTTATGGGCTTGCTCTGGGCTTTGTATTCTTTTGCCAGGTGTTTGACTGAGTTCTTCCACGTCCCTAGAGCAGCCCTTGGTGGGGGTAGCACATGGGGGCTCAGCAGCTCTGTCCAGCCACTGCAGAGAAGGTGCAGAGAGCCAAAAGCAGTGTCTTTTGCTAGGAGAGAATGAAGGGAAACCTCCTGGGCTGCCTGTGAGGGTCTCCTGCTGCTCCCTCAGTGGGTAGGGCAACCAACTCCCAGCACATTCTGTTCCAAGAACTGAGGGTTGCAGTTGACTTGCAGAGGTTTGTGGAAGATTTTACACTTGGGCAGTGTTTTCCACTCCCTCCTACCACCTGTATCTCAGGAGCAGATGAGGGGCAGAGCCTGCTCTGCCTCCACACTGCCCCTGCAGCCAGGGCTGCTGTGTCCCCCCCTTGTTCCCTGGCCACTACACAAACTGCTGCTGTCCAAGGAGGAGGATGAGGCTGCACCAGCAGCTGACCCACAGAGGGACAAGCAACACAGATGTTTGTAGTGTGGATCTCAGCAGCCCTTGACTTGTCATTTGTGTGGAAGGGAGGCCTTAACAAATGTTTTTAGTGTCTGACCCAGCTTGCTCCATTCCTTCTGGCTCTTCTAGAATCTCAGGCTGGGCTGCTGATGCATGTCCTGCCATTAAACCTGTGCTTTTGCCAAACTTTGCTCTGAAGCAAGCCTACAGGGACAGAGGAAAAAAGAGAAATAAGTTCCACTAATGCTCAAGTTGTTTGTTTATTTAACTTGAGAAGAGATTTAATTTTCCCAAACCTTCATTTCTGTAACAGCTGAACTGTTGTGATTGAACTTTACAGAAATTCTGGAAACCTCTCTTGGAAAATGTCAGCCCAAATGTTTGCCAAATAAGACAGTGCTGGTAGCTTCAGAAGGTGTTAGACTGTTGGTAAAAAATAGTGGTAATTCCCTCCCAGAAAGAGAGAATGTGTCTGTCTTTCCCATACAGTGAGGGTGAAGAGCGGAGAAAATACCTGGATAAAGTTAGAGGAGGACAGAGGGAGAGTTTGCTACAGTATTCTTAGGCCGCAGGAAGGTGTAGGGACAGCTGGAAAATCAGGGGCTGACACCCTTCAGAAGAGAAGAGTTACTGCCAGGAGTTTTGGAGTGGGTAGCTTGCAGCCTGGAGGCTAAAGAAAGGCTGGGAGAAGGGGGAAGCCTCACTCACTGTGGTCCTGGTGCTGCTCCTCATGGGAGGAGAATTTGCAGCCCTGGGAATTTAGAAATAAAATAGGAAAGGCCTTTCAGGATGCTCAGCAGCAGAGGCAGGCTCAGAGGCTGGGGGGGTTCTGTGGAGGTGGGTGCAGGGCAGGCAGTGGAAAAGCAAAGTTCATTCCACTGCCCCAGGAAATGAGGGGAGTCCCTTCTCAGGAATTTAGAAGATGAGTTTTTGACAAAACAGATCTCTCCAATTCTTGCATATGTCAAAGCAAGGGAGGCAGGGGTGCTAAAGCTGAGCGACTACCTCCTACTGTCTGTTCTGTTTGGAGGAGAAATTGGCTGGTTCTTGCAGGCTTCCAGGTAGAATTTTCTGCTGTGCATCCATGGTTGGTGCAGCATTGGCAGCCATTGCCTGTCCTCAGATCAGATCCCTTTGTTCCTGCTGTCTGCCAGCTCAGCAAGAGCAGGGCTGTGGCAGAGCAGGTTGTGGATTTTGCTCCTAGCTTGGTCCCAAGGGGATGCAGAGAAGCTGACCTATGAAGCTACAGCAGTAAATGGGATTACTGCTCCTGGTACTACTCTTGCTAGCTTGTCCTTCCCCCTCCAGCATTTCCTAACCATTCTCCTTTCTTCCTCTGTATTTGAATTGGTTTGTTTGTTTTGTTTTACTGTCCCTTTCCCCTTAGCACCCCCAACAGATGCAGTTTTTTCTTTTTATTCTCCAGTTCTTTGCTCCTTAAGGGCTCTGCCTGGATGTACAGCCCTTCCTGAGGAGAGCTGGCACACCAGTACTGATGTTATAAATAATGTTGGCTCCTCTCCCTGCTGCTTCCCCTCCCCACATGGAGCATGATTGGCTTGATTACAGAATTTGCCCAATTTAATATCACCAAGACAATGAGAAACCTCCAGCAGAAGCTTTCAAACATATTTACACTTTAAAAATGGAACTGAATGTTTTTCTCCTTTGTAGGCTTCGTCAGGTTCTGTATGAGATTGTGAGCTGTCCTTATGGGAAACCTTGCCTTTGAACACATTCACTGCACGGTGAATGAACACCCTGTACCAAAGGAAGAGTTAAAGTGCCTTTTATACGCCCACTTTGAATCCCTGATTCTCTTTAAAGAGCTGTGCCAGCAGCAACCTCTTTGCAAAATCTTACGTATTGTGGTTTCTCGATTCTTAATCTGTGCTCTTCTACCATTTGCAAGAAAACAATTATTGCTGTTAATTTAAACAAGAACCAGGAAGCCCTGAATTCTTTAACCAGAGTCAGGAAGAGCTGAATCTGTCTAAACCTTGGAGCTGGTGAATGTCAGCCTCGCAGTAATTGAACACAACACGCGACGCCAGGCTGGTTAGTAAACTAAAGTACTTGGGCTGACAAGCTGTAAACACATTCAACCCAGCCATGGCTCGGGGCCAGTGTGTGCACTCTGATATCTCCAGAGCTTCCAACCCCTCTCACTGGCCCTGCTTCAGGTTGCAGGATCGCACTGTGACTCAATCTTTTGGTTTTTAAGGCTTTGGAATAGGAAAAAATCACCACCCAGTTGAGAGGAGAGAACACCAGGATCTTACAGGCATGAGATACCTGTGTAATTTCCTGCGTCCTGCTTTCCACCTTCCTTACTGTTTTGGTGTTTTTTAAATGTAATTCATGAGGAGTGGAAGCAAAGCACTGATTTCTTATCTGTTCAGATCTGGCTGGGTGCTGGGTTCTCACAGCTCCCATGGCAGGGAGACAGGAATGCTCTGACTGCTGCCCTGTGCAGTTTATTCTGAAGCACGTGGGTAGAGAGGGAGCCAAAAGATGGGAGGGCAGTGGAGAAAGGACAATGGAGAAAGGCTAGGAATGGATTCTGGCCTCGGAGAGGCAGGGACATGAAATACCAGTTAGACTTGTACAAGTGGAAAACAGGCTAACCGAGCTGGGTAGGAAGCATGGGATGGACTGCTGACCACCTGGCACTCCCTGCTGAGTGGTTAGAGTTTGCCAATACAGGCTGCTCCCACTTCCTGCAGGGAACATCCCATCTGCACTTTGGTAATAGGTGTATCTTCCCCATCCTCTGTGGTCTGGTAGATGTGGTACCAGCTCCTGCATTTGCCACAAGCAGCTCGAAGATTTCATTTTGCTCCCTTCTTTCCAGGGTAGGGGAAAGGAGTCCTCAGCCTTGGCAGGTCTCTCTGTGCTGGTGGGGAGCTTGGTACCGATACCCAGGATGTTCCCTCTGTCCTGGCTGGAGTGCAGGAACAGAGGGACAGCCAGGCTCTTGGAGTCAGTGCTGCTCTTTGTTTTCTTTCTGTGTTAGACATGGGCAAAGCAGAAATGCCCATAGCCCAGAGTGCATCACAGCCTGGCTGCTGTGTGGGCAGGGTGGAAGGCTGGTCCCTGTCTCTACCTGCTCACTGCTGTCCTGCTCTGGGTGAGCAGGTGAGTCTGTTCCCAGGTCTGTAAGTGAGGAATGTTGTAATACCAAATAATAAACTTACTCTTCTTCCTCTTGATTTTGGCGCCAAGTGAATTTCTGAGTCTTGGAGTACATTTTGTAACAAGTGTGACTTAAAAGGACCCTGAGGCTGAAGAAGCACAGGGGCTGTTTTCCAGATGTTCAATGCTCTCCACGCAGCCCCAGCTGACACTGTGAGCCAAGGCCTCCCTCAGCAGGAGCTCTTGTCAGGACACAGCTCCCGGGAGGGAGCAGGAGCAGCAGCACAATGCACAGAGCAGGTCCTGGCTAGTGCATTGATCCCTGACACAGCAGGGGCAGGGGATCATCTTTTCACACTGCAGGAAGCTGTATGTAAATCTGGGGTACTGCATTGGAGATCTTGTAATGTGCCCTGTGATTGTTGGATCAACTCCCCTGAGGGTTTCTTGAGCAATTGCTGTGCAGAGCATCAAGCAGCCAGGCCCTGCCCTGTGTCCTGGCTGGCTGTGGCTGAGGCTGGACTTCTGCAAGCATCACACTTGGAAAAATGCCCCTATTAAAAAAGGGTTAGGACAAAACTGTGGATTTTGCACAGTGCCCTTGTGGTAATGGCCAGGAAGGAAGGCCTGCAGTGTGTCCTGGGAGATGTTTGTCTCTCTGAAAGTGCATCTCTTTTAACGGGAGGAAATTAACATTCCGGCAGAAAATGCTGTCTCCGTCAGCTGATGGTGCCCAGCAAGAGCTGGCTTGTAAATTAAAGCTTTTACTTGTGAAGAGAAAAACTGTTCTCAGTGCTGTAAGGAAAACTGTTGTGTCTCTGTCAAGATGAGGAAATTTAAGTCATTTAAATAACTTGTTATTGTGTGCTGCTCTTTACAGATGTTACAAACATACCCAGCTGTTTTTTAAATCCTCACCTCCTCCAAGAGAACCTGGTAAAGATAATTACGGTGCTGTGTCAATATTGACCAGTTACCTCATCCTCAGCAATGCGGACTTTGGAGCACTGTTAGTTTTCCTCAATGCTTCTTTGTGTAGCTGCACTTTTTCTTTTGTAGGTGTTGTAAGAAATCTTTGGAAACCAAGAGCAATTGTGTTTTTCTTGCACCAGGGCTGCCACATCCCTTCCTCTTTGGATGAAGGCAATCTTTGTTAACCACCTTGGGGCTGCCTGTCTTGATCACATGTGTGTACCATGCCTGACAAAATGGTCCATGAGCTGGGCATGCAGGCACAGAAACCACAAGGAATGGTCCCAGCCCTGTTGAACATTTCTGTGCCAGTCCCACTGTGCTCCATGGAAGCACAGTCTGGTCCAGTGTTTATTTTACTATGCAGTTTCTCACTTGTGTTTTTCTAAAGTCTTCTGAAAACTGGTGAATTAAAAATTTCTGCCTTCTTTGAGATGCCCTTTCAAGATTTTAAAAGGTACTGTGGTTCTTACTGAATGTCACTGAAGGGTGGGATGCAAAGAGAAGTTCTTTCCATGTAGTACCTAAAGTGTGTAAATCTTACTCATTTCCTTAGAGCAGCTTCTGTCTGCCACTTTTATTTAAGAGGTGGTGGTGGTATTTGGCACCTCACAAAATTTTTATGAAGTAGTTGCTGCAAGTCTTTTAGGCTAGAATACAGCTTGTGAAATTTAATGAAACTGTTCAAAAATCAGGATGGTTATTGATGAGACAGAATCCAGAAATATCTGGGAGCGTGAGGATCTGTTTCTTTCTTTGTGTTGTGCGTAGGCTCAGAGTCACACTCAGGATGTGATAGTTCCTGCAAACTGAACCTGTAGCCCAGGTACCTCAGCTGTACATCTGCAGAGGACCCTAAACTAAGTGCAGCTTTTTTGGGGACAGCTATAGAGCTGTATATTCAGTCACTAGAGCAGAGTGTACTGCTCTGCTTCCTGATCCTCCCACTGTGAAATCAAAAGCTGAAGATTCCTCTGGATATTAAGAGTAGGATGGAGCCCCAAAAAACCTACCCAAATCCCTTGAAAAACATGTAGCCTTTCAGAGCCAACTTCTGATTCTATTCTTAGAGACATTTAACAACATAAAAAGGTTGCAAGAGTTTTAAAATGCTATTTCTGTGAATGACAGAAATAAAAAGAACTGGGAATAGGAGTCTGTAAAAGGGGGATGTTTCTCATTATTTATAGCCTTCATTGCTTGACCAAATTTTTCAAGACTTTTTGGAAACCCTTGGTTTCACTTTATCAGATTAAACACTTTTTCAGGTAACACTTTTGAGAGGAAGGATAATTGAAATTCAGCAGAAGGGATTTACTGCTTCTCTTAACACTTCATGCTAGTCTTCCCCATTAGCCCTTGAACACAGTTATGTGGGGCTTACTTCCCCCTCTCTTTCTTCACTTGTTTTGGTTAAGAGCTCCTTCATGGAATCCCAATAAGAAAATCAGCATATGCATTCCAAAACATGCTGGCTATTCCATCCTCTCACTAAAAATAGACACTGTACAAGCTGGCACTGAAAAATAATTCAGGGAATAGTAGAGAGTGGGAGGAAGAGCAGCCCTGTGGTCAGGCTGTGACCGTGGTGTGTTCATGCACATCTGGGGAGGTGCAGATCCTGTCTGCTCACAGAAACACAGCTTTGGAACGAAGGAGGGAGGGCATTGCACAGAACAAGGGCCCTAAGATTTGTTTAGGAGGATGAAGTCTGAATTTTTAAGTTCCATGTTTTAAATTTTGTGAAGAAGTATGGGCACCTAATTGATCCAACCAGAGTTGGATGACTAAAGTTGAGACCTGTAAATAATCTAAGTGATATCAGTTGCTGGTAAATAAAAATTTCTTTAATGTTTTATGTTTGCATATTTCTAGAAATAAGATGCTGAGCACAGGTGGATGTTTTTGTTTGGTTTTTAGTCTGAAAATAGATCAATAAAACAAATGTGCTCTGGTCAACTGAATGATCTTTTACTCTCCATCCTTATTCTTGGGGTTTTTTCTTGCTTTCCCTGCAATATGCTCTTTATTTTTTTTAATTTTTTTTTTCTCCTAAACAACTTCTTTGTAGAGTGAGCCAGACCTGGAGAAAGGCCTGGAGATGAGAAAATGGGTCCTGTCAGGAATCCTAGCCAGTGAGGAAACCTATCTGAGCCACCTGGAGGCCCTGCTGCTGGTAAGGCTGGGGACAGATGCCAGTTCAAACACTGGTACTTGAATTTTCACTTCTTCCGTCCACAGTTTCCCTGAACTTCACATACCATGGGTTACAAGTTGCTGGGTGCAAAAGGTGCTATTACTTCTCCAGTAGAGAGAGAGGCCTAAAGGAAGGACTGGATGTAGCAGTTTGGGAGTTGTTAATGTGGCAGTGTCCAGGAGCTCCTTCTTTAAGTATCCTGTGCTAATTATTGCACATTGCTGTACAGTTGGACAGAGATTAGGGAAATGGAGTGCAAAGAGATTTTAATTGCAGCATTAATATCCAGGGAAAATCCACCTACCAGGGTTGGCTGATCCCCATGAGAGAACTTGTTCATGTCTGGCTTTCAGGAGTTGTGTGAATGCAAATCTCATTTTTTATCAGTGTGAAAAATAACTGTATGGAGGGATGTGTTTGCAGTGTGGTAAAGGTGAGTGTTCATGGTTTGTGTGATAATAATTTCCTTCTTTCCTCATTTCAGCCTATGAAGCCTTTGAAAGCTGCTGCCACCACCTCCCAGCCCGTGCTGACCAGTCAGCAGATTGAGACAATATTCTTCAAAGTGCCTGAGCTCTATGAGATCCACAAAGAATTCTATGATGGGCTCTTTCCCCGAGTGCAGCAGTGGAGTCATCAGCAACGTGTTGGGGACCTCTTCCAAAAGCTGGTGAGTCAGCTGCCATCACCAAAGGTGCAGGTGCCCCTCACTTGTCTCACAGGAGCTGGAGATTCCCTTTGGTGACTGCAGAGACCAAAGGGATCAAAAGTCTGTGGCTGGAATAGATGAGAGGTTTCTCACCTCCTCACTTTGCCACTGCTCTGGAGGCCCTACAGCAAAAGTGGCTCTTTCATTGTCTTTAATTAAAGACTGCAGCAAGCTGTGGTGGTAAAATAAATACAGTTTCACACAAATGTTGAATCTTCAGGGTTTCTGCAGAGTCCTCAAAGCATTTCCTTTAGATGGAGATGGGAGAGTGACAGTATTACAAAGTGAACTTCTTAACAGCAACAGTGAAGTGTTGCTCATTACTGTTGAACTCCCCCACACACCCTTCCCTCTCTCTCTGGTGCTTTGCTCTACTTTTTGCTGATTTATGGTCATCACCATTGGCTTTACTTTTCTGCCACTCTCCTGGCCTTTTTGTTCCCCTTGCTGTTATGCTGATGCAGTCAACCCGCAGCTGAGAATCCTCCAAGCAACCTCAACAAAATTCTCTGAGTGCAGAAAAGGACAAAGACATATACAGCATATTCCTGAGGCTGAATTAAAATTGCTGAGTTTCTGAGCCAGATGACAAATTGTTTGCATTCTAGGAGGTTTTTTTGTCCCCTCTAGCCTCTCCCCTAGCATGTGCAGAGAGCAAAGGATTAAAGGAGCTGTTTTTTCATTTTTAGAAAAGAAGCTCTGCATTCCTGAGGTGCCTCTGGTTCTCAGGGTAGGAGTGACATTCCAGTGAGGGGTTTATTGGCTGGGGAGTGTGCTTTACAGGGTCCATCAGTTGTTAGCAGCTGTGTAGCCCAGCATCAGCCCCATCCCCATCCCCTATGGAGCAGGGGGAGCTGGCCTGGAAGATGATGTTTTCTGGACGTGCCAGTAGCTCAAGATGAAAATGCAGGAATCTGCTTTTCACTGCCAGCGTGTTTTAGCCAGGAGGGGTCAAGTTGGTGCCTTGGTGAATAGTTCATGGTATGCAATTTGAGCAGCTGGTTTGAGAGGACAAACCCAGCTGCTGCTGGGTGCTGAAGCAGACAGAGAAGGCTGATGGAAGTGACAGCCTCACAAGCTGCCCTGGACGTGTGGTGCAGCAATGGGAATAGCACTAATTGGAGAAGATCTGAACCTATTCCTCAGCAGGGCTGTCCAGCAACCCTCTACTCACTGCACAGCTACTCAGGCTTTTGTTTCAGACCATTTCTTGTTGCTGGCTGATCTCACGTACAGGAGTTCAGCCCTTCCTCTGCTCTTACATTCCCCTGATTTTTCTGCATTTGTGACAGAATTGTTGATTTTGTTGGATTAGCTTTGGAAACAAAGGAACAAATTGCCCTAGTGCTGGAGGCTTTGAGCTGGCAGAGCAGGTTCAGTTTCGGGTGGTTTGGTACAGCAACGGTGGGAATTGCAAACTCTTTGCTGGATGAGATAAAGCTAATAATTCTTGGCAGGCACTGGGAAACAACTAGATGAGAGAGACAGCAAGAACATCAGGCTTTATAAGGCATCTACACTGGATGTACATCAAATCTTTTGGAGCAGACTGTTTACTCGTGGTCATGTCATGCAGTCTGACGATAAACACTGAAATACCCAGATGTCCCTGGTGACATTAATTTTCTGTACTCACATGCAAAAAACAGCACAGTAGATTTAAGTTACAGATAGTGGATGCAAAGAATTTTAGAATTCCTTGTGTCCTGGCACAATCTATTTGCAACATCAACTTGACTGTTATTACACCTTTTCCTGTTGAGAAAAAGAAAAGATGCCAGGCATGTGGGAGTGAAATACGCTTCTCATTTTTGGGAAATACATTGTACATTTTTTTTTTTATAGCTAGAAAGGAAACTCTTTAGAGCTGTTTTTAGAAATGAAGAAATATTTAGCAAACATCCTCACTTATAGGTGTCAGAAGCAGAAAAGAGTATGTCCAAAAGCCAGCCATTTCTACCAACTCTTGTTTCATTTTCAGTGGGCTCTTTTTAATTGAAAAAAAAGTTAAAGCAGCATGAAAACAGTGTGTGAGCATTATGCTTTGATTGGAAGCTCAGTTTTTAATGCAAAAGATGTCTTTGTGATGACACATTCAGAGAAGGAAAATGAAAGCTTAGAAAGACTGTTCAGGAGTAGCAGGAAATGAAAGAACTGCATGAGAATGGAGAAACTTTAACGTTCTGCCATGTTAGCTGGTACCATCAAAATCTGAATGGCATAAGCCCTAAATTGTCAGTAATTCTGACAGCAGTGACTTCACAGGATTGTGCCTCAGTGGCCAATACAGATTTCATTCTCTCCTGATATAAGTGAGCACAGTTTTCTTCAGCTTCAGTCACAACTGTGTAATGTTGTATAAGGGTTGAGATCGGTTTCTAGTCTTTCAGTGGAATGTGACCTAGGAAATAGCTCACTGTTTCTCAGCCCTGTTAACAGAGTTTGTGCAGGGAATGTTGTCCTGAGAGTGACTTTTCCTCTTCCATCACCTTTTGCACAAAGCTCCACAGAGAATGGGGAGCACCATGGTTATGAGGGAGAGCAGGAGAGGGCAGGAGCAGCGGGGAAGTTCCCAGCTCTGCCTCTTGCCCATCTCAGGCAGGGCTCAGGGTGGGTGCAGCCCCCTGGCAGTGTCTCCTTGCTGCTGCCCTGCCCTGTGGGCTGGGGCTGCTGAGGTGTGCCCAGCCCAGGCTGGCAGCTCTGCAGTACAAAGCCAGCTCTGCACTCCAGACAGGCTTGGAGGCTCCCCAGGGATTTCCCATGCTGGATCTTGTGTTCTCTGGTGTGAATATGGCTGCAATTCCTAAGTCAGCAAACGGGATCAGTGCTAAGACTCTGTGATAATAATGACTTACTACTGCACTCTGAGGCCTGTTCCATCCTCTTCTGGACCAATTCCATATTCCTTCTGCTGGAAAAACTGCCCTGATTTTCTGTCACCTAGTGACCCAGTCACTTCCATCCAAACAGATTGTGCTCTGCATCTCTCTTCTGTATTTTCAGCACTCTGCTGCCCTTATAATAATGCTCACTAATGCAGATATGGGTAATATCTGCAAAGTATCCATCATGCAAAGGCCAACAAGTAGCTTACTGGGGTCACATTTGTGCTGTTGGGCTGAATCATTCCTCCCTGATTCATATGTTGTGGCAAAAAGCCAGCGGCTCCAGTTACATCAATGAGCTGCAATATTAATAGATACTAATCTGGCAGTTCAGAAGGGAAAAATAGATGTCAGAAATAAGGATGTGTCATTCTCGTAGGCTTTCACATCCTTCACAAGTAAACTTGTTCAGCATAGGGTGGAACTGGGTGCATGGGGGCACCAGTGCTGGTTAGACAAAGTTGAGAGGTCAGAAATGCTCAGGGCCTGCTCAGCATTCCCTGCAGTTGTTAGGTGTGAAAAAGCTGATCATTGCATACCAAGACTGACCATCCCAAACTGCCCTCTTCCCAGCATTTATTATATTTTGTTTTGTTTCCTGCAGGCCAGCCAGCTGGGAGTGTACCGGGCCTTTGTGGATAACTATGAAGTTGCTATGGAGACAGCAGAGAAATGCTGCCAAGCCAATGCTCAGTTTGCTGAAATCTCTGAGGTAATGTCACGGTGTTCAGACACATGAGCTGTCTGGCTCTGACTAATACCCTGCCATGTCACTCCTGTCTATTCTCCAAGTACCTCTGCAGCCTTGACTTCTGGAGGAGTTGTGAGCTCCCACAGACTCCCTGCTTCAGCTCGTGTTCTTACACTGAATTGTTCCTTGGGCTGCTCACAGACACAGCCTTTGTGTGCTGTCCCCACCCAGGGAATCTGGTAGAAACTGGCATTGCTTTGAACTTCTCCAGCTCTGTGCCACCTTCATGCATTTCTAGAAGGGAAAGCTCTGTGTGACTTTCTCAAATGTTTCTCTTGCTAATGATGACTCTGGCTGTGGCATAAAAGCCATCCTTAATGGCTTGCACTGTGGCTGTCAGTGGGATTGCAGCCTTCACTGGCATGGAGAGGAGAGGGTAATTCTCTCTTGAAAAAGGCAAGTGTGTCAACCATAAATCTATAATACTATTCTTTGGCCTGCTCTGATTTCCTCTCTGTCAGAGGAGTACCTGTCTCAAAGCATTTTGAAAATTTTCTTCTGAGACCATCAGCTTTCCCTGCAGTGCATGGTCTCATTGACTCTTTGTATTGCAGTGATGATTTCTTGAAGAACTCAGTTGCCAAGAAAACATGAATTTCATATGTGTCTCCTTAAAAACAATCAGATAAATCATCAGAGCTGAGTACTACCAGGGGTGTTTGTTGCTCTGAGAAAACTCCTGAGTACATTCTATATCACATGTCCCTTGAGACTTTTATTAGAAAGAGGTAAAATATGATCTCTCAGTTTTGCTGTTTCTGACAAATAATTCTGAATCATGCCAATATCTACTGTATTTGTGTCCTGGTGAGGTTTTTTGAGCTGAGTACATGAACGCATGGCATGGCCATGGCAAGGAGCAGAGTCACAGACAGTGTTCCTTTGCTGCTCTGGAAGAACTGATGTGTCCAAGGTCACCCAGCTCTGAGTACAGGAACGGGAAATATAACCTGAGGGTATTGAATGCCAATTCTGAACTTCACTTACTGGTGCTGGGACAGTGGCTGTGTCCTGAGGGATGTCTTTCTGCTGCAGGTGATTTAAAACCTCCCCCATCCCTGTTGCTGTAGGTGGTTCCCTGCTTTGCTGCATGTCTATTGACAGGTGCTCCTAAGAACATTGCTTAATGTTTGAGATGTGTGGGTGCCTGTGACATGGCAGTGGTGGATTTACCAAGAAGGAAAGCACAGTTTTCCATCACTGACTTGAATTGTGGTAGGGCTCTCCTTTCACACCTAGCCTTCCCCTGAAGGAGCAGATAGTCTGCCATGTTCCCATGTGATGTTTCAAGGTGATTGACCATCTGCTACATGGGTTTTCTTTTTCTTTTAGAATCTAAAGGCCAGAAGCACAAAGGAATCTAAAGATCAGACGACGAAGAATTCCTTGGAAAGTGAGTGATCCACATAGAGGAGACTGGTCTGTCAGGAGTGTGTGGAGGCTGTTGACAAACCTCCACACTCTATTTTTCTTTTCTAATGCTGGAAGGTTATGAAGTCTGCTGGCTCTACCTGGGAAGTCAGCTCCCTTTTGCTAAGTAGCAGAGCTCGTGCAAAGTAGGCTGCCTGCATGGGGAAATGCCTCCTGCCTTCAAACCTCATCAGTGCCTTGGGGCAAAGCCAGCCCAGCCATGGGGCTGCTGTGATTTTAAGAGAACATCTGCTACCCGGTGATAGCACAAATGCAACCCCAGCAGTGATGGTTTCATGGGGGGCATTTAGAGAGCCTGGTCAAGATCATGTCCTTGTCTTTGTGCACGTGAATAGAAGACACCCCATGTTAGAAGGAGCTTCCACTCTTCCTGATGTTCCTACTGCTTTGTTTCCACAGCTCTGCTGTACAAGCCGGTGGATCGAGTGACCCGCAGCACACTTGTCTTGCATGTAAGTATCTGAAAGGGAGTGTTCAAACTTTAGACCCCTGTCCTATTTTCTTTGACCTTCAAATTTTCCACGGAGCTGCAGGACTGCAAAAATAAACCTGTTGAGCTGCATAAGAGCCTCTTCCCTTTACACTAAGAAGATGGAGTCCATGGGTAGGATGCTGCTATCTTTGCAGTGATGTCACCAAGAAATGCAGGATATTATTATCTTCTGGAGATAAAGCCTTGCTCTAATCTGTGTGAAGAAGCTGGAGCATCTTGTCCTACAGCTCTGATTAGGGGTGCTTGAGCCCTCCTGCCATCCAGTGCTGCCCATGACTGTGTTCTCTGTGTTATGTTCCTGCTGTCAGGATTTGCTCAAGCACACTCCTGTGAGCCACCCTGACCATCCCCTGCTGCAGGATGCTCTGCGGATCTCGCAGAACTTCCTCTCCAGCATCAACGAAGAGATCACTCCTCGCCGGCAATCCATGACTGTAAAGAAAGGGGAGGTGAGTCTTCCTGCTCTTGTTATTTTCTCAGTTTCTAAATACTGATTATGTCTTTTCTGTGGAGCTGACTAGGAAGTTATGCTGTTAAGCTGTTTGTTGCTAAGATACAGTTTATGCAGTGTCCTTGTTCTCTAAAGGATGTGGTACAGCTCCCTCTGTTTTCTGTTCAGAAAACAGTTTGGAAACCGAGAGGAAAAGTGTGATTAGAGTTTTGTCCTTTGCATTGCTATAATCATTTGTCATACATAATTTCTGTGATGCACATTGCCATGCACTAAATGGATTTGTATTTTACCTGCAAACTGAAACCAAATGGGAAGCGTGGGAGGAGAAAAAGGTGAGGAAACATCAGAAGTCATGAAAGATTAGGAAAAGCTGTTTTCCAGAATCTTCATTTTCACCATACAATTAATTTTTTGCATCTTTATTCTAAAGAGTAGTGTTGTAAATATGACTGGAAAGCAAAACAGATGGAATGGGTTGGGAAAGCCAGGACGATGATTGACTCCTAAGAGTGTAATATAACCCTTCTCAGCTCTGTAAGGAGCTGGACTACACCCAGAGAGGTCTGAGATGTGCAGATGCTTCACATGCGTGCAGTGTTGTGCAGGGAGGCCACAGAGCTTCTCTGTGGTGGAGTCTGCATTCCTCAGTGCCTTGATTCAGGTGCATCATAATTCCATTAAAAAGGGATTCAATTCCTCCTGCTAAAGAAAGGCCAAGGCTGGCAGAAGTGTTGAGAGAGAGAGGGACGTAGGAGATTGGACACAGAGAGGTGCAGCTCAGATAGTAAAGGTGTAAAAAGAGCATCCAACCATGGCCTGATCAACAGTGACCCAAATTACCCTGTACAAAAACATCTTACAAAGCCCAGGAGATTGTTAAGATACCATGAACCTTCATGATTTATTCTCAAATCCTGACAGCTAAACATGCTTGCTTTTAGCTGTTAAACTGATTTTCAGCTGACAGAAGGTTTGCTGGAAGCTGCAATTCTGGGAATTTGGTGCACTTTTTCCTGCAAGTCTTGCTCATTGTCTCATTTTGTCAACCGAGGACACCTCAAGCTGAGAAAAGAAGAGGAGGGGCCAGGCAGTTGGAGGCTGAGCTAGAAGCTCAGCCATCAGTCACCGGTGCCTCAGTGACAGGGGATGGCCTCGTTAAAGTGGCTGCTGATTGAGTCATAGCAGAACGCACAGGCTAGAATGCCCCTCGCAGGGGAGGGAGCAGTTTGTGTTCTCTGGTTGTCTGTCAGCATCTCAGTGAGGGATGCAGGCTTTGTCATGTAGAATCCTAATGAGGTGCCAGAGCCCAGGCAGAGGAGGGGGCTCAGGAGGATGATCCTGCTGATGGCTTTTTGGAGCGGTGTATTTGTCAGATCTTAGAAAGCAGGAAGGGGAGGCACGGCAGGACTGGGCTCAGCAGGCCTGGCAACACCCTAGTGGTTCTGCAGTGACTCCAGGAATGATGTGGGGGGGAAGAGGACATACCAGAGGAGAGGGCTGTGGGTGTGCTAGAGAGGACTGGGAACCCTTTGTGCCCTCCCTCACTGCACACAGCTTTTCCTGAGCCCAGGGAGGAAAAGGACTTGCCTTCCACTCTGGGAATCTGAGCACAAATATTTTCTTTAGTCATTTGGTACCAGTATCGCACTTCTGTCAAAGCAGTAGTGCCCCAGTTGAACCCTCTGTGTCCTGAGAGTAGGTATGTTCATTCTCCATGTAGTAATGCAAAGACACAAATCTGCTCCCAGCTACTCTGTGTGGGTTAGTGATAGCTGTTCCTTCCTGCAAGCTGCTCAGCTTGGGGTCATAGCTGGGTTTTGTTTATGCCTGTAAATCTTTCCTTTTCCACTTATCCTTTCCTCCCACTTGCCTTGCTGGTGCTTCCCCCCGGGGTGACAGGACAGTGTGTGGATTGCATCTCCTAATTGACTGCTCTCAATGCATAATGCATTTTTTATTTTAATGAATCACCAGCTTGCTTTGAAGGCTTTTTTTTTTCATTATTTGTCTTCCTCCCATTGAAGTTTCCTTGGTGGAAAGGAAGGGAGAGTAAAATAGCCTTTTCCCCTCATGTATTGCTTAGGTGCTGATCTCAGTTATCTTTTTTTCCCAGTCCTTGCCTTTTATGTGGAATATTTTTTCCCTTTGAGTGTGTTGTGGGGAGGAATCAAATCTCCTTTGCCAGCCTCTTGCTCCTTCTCTTTTTTTCAGGATTGCTTTGAACTGGGGAAAGCAGCCAGTCGTTAATCTCCCTAGTGACAGGCTGCTAAGGAGGGGAGTGCAGGTCAGGAGAGAGTAGAGGCTCATCAGCAGTGTTGTTCTGTTTGGCAGAGGTGATTCCCTGCTTTGGGAGCAGTGACTCAGCCTGCCCTGCCTGCTGGGCTCCCTCCATGCCAGGTGTCCATCCTGCACTCCAGCCCCCCAGTTCTGCTGGGCTCCAGAGGCTTTGTTCTAATCTAGTTTCACGCATAGGAACTGGAAGGTTTCTGTCATGTGGTTTAATTTGCTGGGCTGGATGAGTATTTCAGGTAGTGCAAAGAGATGGGAACAAAGGGAGTAAAATCCCTCCCCAGAGGGACAGAAAGAGCTGCAGCAGAGAAGGTAAAATGGATGGACTGAGCCTGTGAACAGAGAGTTTGATCCTTGCTGACTGCAGCAGCCTTTGCTGAGGGCCACGGTACAGAGGAGCCAGCAGAGCCCCAGCCTGGCAACACAGGGGAGCCAGGGAGGCATCTCTGGCGTTTGGGGTCTGTTTCCATTCAGCTTGATCCACTACATTCTATTGCTCCCTTCTGTTCATCACATCTTTCTACTTTTATAGTTTTACCTTTTTTACTGTTTTTTAATGCATTATCTACAGGTACCGACTTTCCTAACCCTCCAAATAACCAGGCAAACGCACAGAGGGGAAGGGAATCTTAGTAACCCTGTACTTTGTGGCTTGGACTGTGAGTGGTGGAGAGTCACCCAGCCCTTGGGGCCATGGAAGAGGCATCTTCTTGTCACTGCTGATCCTTCTGCACCACTGCTGTCTTGGTTTTAAGAGGGGACAAGGTTAAGGCTCTACTGGGGACAGTGCCTTGGGGAAGAAGAAAAACAAATGCTTTGGGATGAAGGACGTGCCACTGTTAGGTGCAGAAGGAGGGCAGTAATAACCTTCTCTAGTCTTACTAACAGAGCAGCTCTAGGTACTGCATGTTGGGTTTATTTCAGCTAAGCCTGGATGCAAATGACTGTAGTGCTTGTGTCTTTGCCTGCCAGAGGTCCAGGCTGGTGTTTCCAGCTAATTCAGTGTGTTTGTCAAAGCAGGATTTAATGAAATATCAAAAATTGCAGAGGTGGTGGTCCCCTTCTTGTCTGCTGCTCCTCCCGTGCTCTTTGCAGAGTGTTGTTCCAGGGCAGTTCAGACCAACCTGAGTGTGGTGGCTGCCACTGCCTTGCCCTGGCCTTGTCCTCCCACCCTCTCTGCATTGTGCATACTGATGTTTGTGTGATCCCACAGCTGCATGGAGGGATGGAGCCTGGAGTTTTGGGTCACTGCTGGCTGAGTGCCTTCATGTCTGGTCTCATCAGCACCAGTCCAGGCACAAGGGAGCTGACAGGCAGCTTTTCCTGGGAGCCCAGTACCTCACATCACAGATCAGCTTGTGCTACTGTACACCTTTGTCCTTGCCCTGGAGAGGGGAGGCTGCTTGGCAAGCTGCTCTACCGTGTTTCTAAATGTGGTTTTAAACTGCAGTCAGGGGACTGGCTATCACTGCCTTTGGCTTCTGGCTGACTTCGTAGAGGACCAAGTGTGCTAGGGAAGGGAAAGGACAAAGGACACGTGCAAGGGAGCTGAAGTGCAAACTGAAGCCTTTGAAAAGCTGGAAGCAAAGCTTTGACACAGCTGTGCACAGCATGGGGCCTGGTGCCCACTGCTCCTGGAGGCCTTGGGCAGATGTTGGCAACAGAGCACTCAGAAATTATCTTGGCTGCTTCACACTCTGTCTTACAGCTGGAGCCAGAGAGCTCCTGGTGACAGGAGCTTTGGGAAGAAGAAAGAGGCCATTAAAATGCTCAAGAGCAGCCAGTTTAACTCCCCAGGCAGAGCATTTTTTTTTATTTTTTTTTTTTTTTGCAGTGCTGGTCTTGCAACACACTTACACACATGAGGAATCATTTTCTTCCTACGCTCTGCAGAAAGCCAAACCACCTCTTCCTCACTGACATGTGCCAATACCCATCTCCTGGCTTTCCCCTCCTCCCCGTGCCTCACACATGTCCCAGCCCTTCCTGGTGCTCACCCACACACGCTGCAGGCCTCTGCTGTCACCACGCTGGATGAGCTCTTTCCTCAGCACACAAGTGGGGAGATGGCCTTTTGTGCAGCTGTGGGTCTGCTTGAGTAGGTTCTTAAATTCCTCTTCTTGTAATGTGTCTCAGACAAGCTGGCCACACTTCCTGGAGCTAATCAGGCTGTGACAGCAGCAGGATTTATCATATGCAAACAGCACAAAAACACCGTAGGATGAATAGATGAGCACACAGGTAGTCGTGAGCTTGGTAGCAGAGGAGGGAAAGATGCTCAGTGACAGAGGTAAGAGGAGGAGGAGGACAGCAATAGGCAATCCAAAGAGGATAACCAAGCTCTGGAGAAGATAGAGGGAGAGCTCTTTTGTTCAGAGCACTCAGGTGGGTGGGAGAAGAAGCAGATGAAAACATGCAAAGAAAATCAGGGCCTGGAAAAGAGACATGGAACTTTTATTACACCAGTACAGCTTTGCAAGAGCCACTGAAGTTAACAGTATAGGCCTTGTGTGGGAGATTAAAGATGATCCTAATTCACTCTATTACGACACAAAATCAAGACTTTTCTCCCACACTTCCTGGAACATCTTTCTGAAGCTGAGCTGAGCTCCTGTGCTGAACACCTGACAGTCCTGTGGGCTGTCTGTGGAAGAGAGGGTGTCACTCTGCCACTTTCCTGCCACTGTCACCCTATCACCCTAATCTTATGTTCTCTTGGATGTTTATTTGGTGTTACTATAGTCAGTTATTTCAGTGTATTTTAGGAAATCTTTAGCACCTTTGGTTACTTTAACAGAGTGACTCTGGGAACAAGAGAGATGGTTCCCCACATGAGAGCTATTATATGTCACGTACAGCAGGCTCACCTAATCAAAAACCCTTGTGTTTCAGGAGACCCCATTTAGCAGGAGGCCACCAAAGGAATAGCTGTTGGTGGCCCTGGGTGGGAGGAGCTGACCAAATTGTTGGTTCCAAAACCACAGAGCTGAGGTGGCACAGAACTCTTGAGTGTCAGAAGCCCTGTCTGAGGGGGCTGCTGGCTCCCCCAGGGTGGGAGAGGATGGGCTGACTCATGGCAGGAGGTCCAGGAAGGTGCCCTTTGCTCCCACACTGTGGGGTTTGGCAGGGATCTGGTAAGCCATTGGGAAATCCTTTTATTGTTTCCCTGTGACCTGCTGAACCTCCCGGCAAGATGACTCATTTGCAGCAAAGGATGTGCCCCTTCACTGGAAGTGCCCCTCCTCAGCCCCACGGATGCTGAGCAGCCTGGGGCATGCCTGTTTTGCCCAGCCCTAATAAAAGTTCTCTTTCCAAGAGAAGTTGGTAGTGAGGAGAGATTTCCTGACTTGATCCACAAATGTTTTCTCCTGTACGCTCCTCTCCAGATGCTTGGTTGCTCTTGTGGCAGTTCACCCCTGCTGCTTGCTGGAGGGACACCTTCCCATCTAGCTACCATGAGCAAGAAGAAAAGAAGAGTGAAGGGTTCTGGGAAGCTCTGTGTTTCCCTCTGATTGACTGGAATGTATCTCTTCACCTCTTTCCTTCTGTTCCAGCAAAGCTTAAGAAGTACAGGCTTGTCCTCTTCCACCCAGCTCTCTTTGTGGGACTTTTTGCTGTGTCTATGTCAGTGATAGGATTTGGTTCCCAGGAGTGCAAACCCAAATAAACTCAGTGCCAGCTCAACCCCAGGTGGCAATGTGAAGGTTGATGGGTCATTTGGCACGGAATGGCTGAGCTCTCTGCTCAGGTTTTGGGGAGATGTGCTCTAAGCAGGGTGCTGGGCTCATCTCACACTGTCAGTGCCTAGCAGAGGCAGACAGGTCAGGTCAGGACTGTGCCCTGTCACTGCCAGGCAGGGAAAGGACAGTGCTACATCCTGCTGGGTAGCAGAGATGAGTAAGCTGTGAGAACATCTTTACACCTACAAACAATGAGCAGAGGTTGAGCTAGCAGCAAGCAATTATTCTCATTGCTCCAGAGGAGCTGAGCTGATTTGCAGTGTAATTAATATGCATCATATCTAGAAACCTGAGATCAGGGTTTTGGCTTGCTCAGAAAATCTCTTTCCCTGCTTATTATTGCTCCCAAATGAAATTCTTTGCAGGAGTGGAGAGTGTTCTTGCTACTGACAACATACCTCCTCCTGTTGGTTTATTTATTTCCAAAGCTCAGTGTTTCTGGTTTCCTATCTGGGCCTTGCTCTCCCTGGCGGGAGGGGAGGGCGTGCTCCAGTGCCCGTCAGCAGCAAAGGCATTAGTGCAGCCAGGAGTTCACTCCAAAAACATCAAGAAGAAGCCAGGAGGATCACACCCACCTAAAAATAAACACTAACATATGTACAGGCCTTTGTGAGCTGAATCACTGCTGGATGCCAGATCTCCCCAGAGTCCTGCCTAGAGATGGTGCAGCAGTCTGCCAGGGAGCAGCCTTGCTTCCTGCAGCTCTGGGGAAGGTGCAGCTTTTGCTGCCCTGCTCACAGATTACCAGGACCTTCATGTAATGGAAGGCAGCACCGAGATGAGCTGCTGACACTGCTCCACGTGCTTTCACAGGTAGCTGTGGTGCTCTTGTAGCTGCAGATGGGAAAATGCAGGCTCCTAGTCCCTGTCAGGAAGTGTAGGGTGCTGTGAGACAGACTGTGGAGAGAAGAATTATGTCTGCAAGGGCATTTCTTTATCATGTGTTCCTTGCCACAATGCTAGGCTCAGGACTGATGTGGTTTGTTTTCATTTTGAAGAGCCAAGATGGGAAGAATGGTAGGCAGAAGGAGAGGCAGCGCGGGGGTTTGCACTCCCACACCTCAGCAGGGAATGCATTCAGGGTTTGCTAAGTCACGCAACAAACAGAACCCAGGGGCATCACCTGAGAAATGGAGACATCACTTCTGCCCTGGCTGTCCTGACCTTGCCCATGGGAGCTGCTCTCATGGTGCTGCCCCATGGAGACCCTTCTGTGTGTGTGCCCAATGTGGGGGTCCCGGCCATGGGGCAGAGCAGCAGGGACTCAGGGACGAGTCCTGAGCGTGGGGCCAGGCAAGGCTGGCAGTGAGGCAGCTGGGGAGGGGCTGATTGGCCTTGGACAGGGTTAGCAGAACTCTCTCCAGCCACAGCGCTGTCTAGGCAGATGTGGGATGTCTGATATGTCACTTAGTGATGGCAGAGGAGCATCCTCTTGGCTGGAATAACAAAGTACACGTCAGGGAGGAGTTCCTTAGCATACCTTAGCATGTGTGGAGAAGCTGATGGCTCCTGCTTGTACTGGCTGTGAAGTGAGGCAACACTGACAGTTATACTTGGAAATAAAACTTGCACAGAAGCTGAATTACCTGACTTCTGCTTGAAAATCGATGGGAGGTATCTATTGCAGATGTGCACTGAGTCCTGCTGATCCTGACAGCACAGTGGAGGACCTGAGCACACAGCAGGGCATGAAACTCCTGTCATGGTCACTGGAAGGAGCACACAGCCACTGTCTGTGTGCCTGCATTCCAGCCTTTTGGGCTTTTAACTATGGAGTTGTCCATCCTGCCCCTCCTTCCTAAGGGAATTAGCAAAGCAATGGTTCTGGCTGCCAGTGTGTGCCCCTTCTTTAGGAGACTGTAAAACTCCATGGAGCTAGAAGCAGGATTAAAGGCATCAGAGTTCTGCAGCTTCTTTGCATCTTCTAGGTTTGGGGAATCTTTATATGATACATAAAGAAGATTCCAATAGGCACGTGGTGAGGGTACATCCAGATGGTCCTTTTAAAACACAGGCTGCTAAGGGACTCCTGAGACGTTTGCCAGATCCACACGTTCAGGAATAATCCCTTAACAGCACTTGTAATGAAGGAGCAGCAATGGCGTTCAGCTGTCAATGTTGACAAAGTCGTTCTGTGAATGGGAGAGGAAGGGGTCAAGGGGAGCTTTGCTGTCCCTGCTGGGGTGGCTGAAGCTGATGCAGAGGCTGGGAAGTGACTCTGGGAGGAGTGACTCCGGGAGAAGCGGTGTGTGCTGCTCTCTGCTGGCTCGGGAGGGGACGATCCGCTGGAAAGGATTCAGGAACTCTAGTACGAAGGAGCTGAGTAGTGACTCACAAGCTGCACCTGGGCTCAGGAGCAGGTGATGGAGAGAAGCCCAAAGTCTGACCTAGCACCGGGCAGGGGAGAAGATGCACGGCTCTTTCTGCCTCTGGGAGTGAGGGCTGCAGCAGGGAGCAGAGTTGAAAGCAAGGAGTATTTAGTAGACTTTTTCATTGTTCTGAATTAGACAAATGTACTGAATTTGCTCTGGTAGGAGTCATATCTAAGGACTGTGTTTGCCCCAGTGCCAAGTTTGGAGCTCGTATTGCACTGAAACATTTTCCCTGTTTTTTCCCCAGCATCGGCAGCTGCTGAAGGACAGTTTCATGGTGGAGCTGGTGGAAGGGGCTCGCAAGCTGCGGCATGTCTTTCTTTTCACTGACCTCTTCCTGTGTGCCAAGCTCAAGAAGCAGATTGGAGGGTGAGAGTTTGCTTTTGGACTTTGTGCTTTGCACCTCAGCTGTAACAGAATCCTGTGATTAGCCTGCTGTTTTAGTTGCATATGGATACCCCAGACCTGGGTAACCATAATCCACAAATAGTTAGACAAGAAATGATCGGCAAGATAGGAATGTTTTCTGTATGAGATCCTGTCTAAGTCCTGTCTCCCCAGGAAAGGTAATTCCTCCCCATTCCTGCCTCTGCCTAGGAGAGCAAGATATGTTGTAGCTGCTGGTATTCTGAACAAATGTCATTCATTTTTCTACTTTCCCTTTCTTTTAATAGGTGACATTCTTCACTTTTTTTTATGACTAAGGTTGTTAATTTTGGCTTTGCAGCTACAGCATGTTAACAGTTTTACAGAAAAATGGCAAAGGTGCAGTAAACAGACTATGTTTACCAAAGTAAACATATGTTTATGGCCCCAAAGTACAGCTATAAAAGCAGTTTTGCTGACACTTTTCACAAATGAGGGGGGAGGAACCACTACCAATGTACTTGCCTCAAATACATTGGTATTGGTATTGCCTTCTCTTCATTTGGTAAACATTCTTCTTGGGGAGACTTCTCTTCTTGCCTTCCTCAAGCAAAAAGTTATGCCTGCCCTTTTCAAAGCACATGCTTGTAAGGAATGAAGCTTCAAAGGAGTGGGACATTACCAAGGGTGGACGTTCCTGACAACAGAAGTGAAGAGGGAATAAATGACACGAAACATTAAAAAAGTGAGCTGCTTATCCTGGTGAAATCCCTGGAGAATGGCAGCTATGAGCTGTAGTTTCTCTCCCCTGGTTGGATTACACAGAGGTTTATATCCATTGGCTCACCTGCCCCACCTTGGGTTCAGCCTGGGCAGGAGAGACCCAGATTCAGATCCCAGGGGGCCACCAGGTCACAGGTGTGACACAGCTTTAGAACTTTGCCACACCAGAGGATTCAAAGAGAGAGCACACGGGACCAAAATTCTCTGCAGGAGATGGATGTGGTTTCTTAGGATGAAAATAACTAGATTACAAAATTAATTGCTTTTTTATGTGCAGTACCAGCTACTGGCCCTGCTAGGCTGTCTTGCTGAAAAGCAGCCTGTTGCCAGACTTTTTTCACATGGGAATCACAGTAAAGTTGGGCTGGTATCTGCATCTTCTGCACATTAGTGGGGAAGAACTTGTGGGAAGGACACCAAACACCCGTAGTAGTAAAAGGTTTGGACCTACTGCCTTTCAGAAAAAGCCAACAATACGACTGCAAGTGGTACATCCCGCTCACTGACCTCAGTTTCCAAATGGTGGATGAGTCTGAGGCAGTGCCCAATATCCCACTGGTACCTGATGAGGAGCTGGATGCCATGAAGATCAAGATATCCCAGATCAAGAATGACATCCAGAGGGAAAAGGTAAAGGAGTTGAGTGCTCTGTGGCAATGCAGACCCAGGGTCTGTGCTCAGATGAGGTGCTGGTGGCAGCTCTCCCAGGGCTGCACAGTGTGGGGAGCCAGGCTGCAACAGACTCTTCAGCAGGGGCTTGTGATAGCCAGGTGCTTTCCTCATCCGAGTGCACAGCCTGGGTGATACTGCCCTGGGAGGAGACAAAAAGACCCTGTGGTTGTACCCAGCAGCTCCTCTACTCAGCAAAACCACCTATGAGCATCCATGTGGAGGGCTGGGATCTTATGCTGCAGACATGAGAAAGACTGGGAGTGTTATTTGCCAATTTCTGGCTGTTAAATTAAAATCCTGCCAGTGATTTTGGTCAGGAGCCATATACTCTTGAATTTTAGCAGGCTCAGTTACGTCTTTGAAGCTTTTTCCTGCTTCACTGACGTCAAAGCAGCAGCAAATGTGTAGAATCAGCAATTATGCTGAGTGGACAGTCAGACATAGACATGGTGTATCTGGCCCAGGCTTCTTTTTTGCTTGCAAGATACGTTTTCTGAGATCTGTTAGATCCCAAACCTTCCTGAAGCCTAAAAGAGGAATGAGAATATGAATACTGGTGGTGTGTAGAGCAGGATATGAATAACATTGATCATGCTGTGGGAAGGTTATTCCCCACATTTCCAAAGAACATGCTTCTGCCTCTCAGCCCTGGCTGGCTTTCAAAGAGGGCTTCCTGGAAAAAGTAAGGTATTAGGAAGAACACTTTGTGGAAGCCTTTTACTCACCAGCTGCAGGTGTCTAAGATGAGTGCTTTGGTGCATCAGTGCTAAACAATACACATGGCTGGGTTTGGAGCTGGATTTTATCCAGGAAAAAAATGTATTTTTAGTAGAGCTCTGATGGAAATGGATCAGTGGGTGGTGAGCAGGAGAGTTCTGGGCAGCTTCTACAGAAGTTCCTTAAAGTCTCCTTAGTTAAGGACACTTGGAGGACCTGGCAGTGCTATGGCTGCCCAGTGATATGATGCTGCTGCAGCCTCTGGAACAGAAAATACAGGGTACAGCTGGGACAGTGGCCACACACCTCTGCACTTCAGCTGAGACAGCCAGAATTGGGGAACAGAGCCCAGTCCAAGTGCAGAGATTCTGCAAATAACACCTTTCTGAGCAGCTGGGAGTCCTGTGAATCCTATTGACAGCATTTCTTCTGCTCTGGGGCCATTTACCTACTCACAGGGTAGAGACTGTGGAGATTTCAAACTAGCAGTTAGTATAAACAGGGCTGGATTTGGAGAATAACACATGTCCTTTGTCTCTCTCTCTCCCACACCCTTCAGAGGGCCAATAAAGGCAGCAAGGTGATTGAGAGGTTGAAAAAGAAGCTCTCGGAGCAGGAATCCCTCCTACTGCTGATGTCTCCCAACATGGCCTTCCGGGTACACAATCGCAACGGCAAGGTGAGAGCACCTCTGTCACCCTCAGGCAGAGATCGTGGTGACTTGTGTCTGACTGCACGTGCTCCTGCACAGGGAGGGCTTTGTGGCCTCTACTGTGTGTCCTCAGAGCACTTCCCAAGCAGCAGACACCTTGCTCTTGCTGTGCCAAAGGTTATGATGACATCCTATAAGGCTGTGACTAATTTGCGTACAAGACTGGCATTTAAGAAATAACCATAGAAATGAATCCCGTGTCTCAGCACCAGTCCTGGTGGAGCAATAAACAGCCCTTCACCAGAGATCCAGCTCTGCAGCAGCTTCCTTCTACACTGCCCTGTGGCTTCAAGGCTTGGCACGTTCTGGGCAGTGTCCTCAAGGCTGCAGCTGCTCCTGCCAGGGTCATCCTCTGCCAGGGGTATTCCCTGCCCTGGCAGTGCTGTAACCTCTCACTGTGGCCTTTCCATGCACGTGGCAAGGGAGTCTCACAGGACTGTGTTACTGCTCAGTGAAAATCCATGAGCTGGTCACTGCTTCCTCACTGTCACTCCTTCATCAGTGTCTAGGCCTGTGCTGAAGGCTTTTGGCATTCCTGGTGCAGCTGAATTCCTGTTGTGAGGAATAGCATAAGCTGCCATGGGAGCTGCTGCAGGACCACAGCTGCCCTTGGCAGGGTGGGGCTCTGTGAGCTCTGACTGTCCCTGTTGGTACCATGAGCATCTTGCCAGAGTCCAGCTTGTCTTGACAGAGATGAGTGGCAGGAGTACAAGAAGAACAGCCTGTCCTGCAGTTTGCACTGGGGGAGGGTGGGAGCAGGCAGGCCCTGGCCTCAGTGGTGCATCAAACTAATGCAAACCCAATTTTCTTCTGTGTTCCTGGTAGAGTTACACATTCCTCATTTCATCGGATTATGAAAGAGCAGAGTGGAGGGAGAATATCCGGGAGCAACAGAAGAAATGTGAGTATTCCTTAGCTGTCATTGGTACAAATACAGTGATCTTAAGAGAACAGGGCTCCAGAGGATCAGGTGGGACAGGATTCCCTGCCAAAACAGAGATCTGCATTGAAATCCACAGTGCAATATGGATGTCTCCTGTCTGAGTCTATCTGGGGAACTGCTGTGGCCAGAGGTGAGGATTGTGTAGAGAGAGCACTTAGTAAGTAAATGTGTGTAGAGATTCTCCCATTTACCCTAGAGATCAGAGCTCAGTGCAATTCCACAGAGAGGGAGAAACCTCCCCTTTTTTCCTGGCTCCATTCAAAAGAAACTTAGTTACTTTTATGGCATGGTGTTCTTGGCCTTGCAAGAAACTTAGAACCCCTGTATTTCATGTGAACCATCCTGAGACTTTACATGGAGGAGTAACTAAATATGTCCCCAGTAGAGCTGGGCTGTAGCAGCAGCAGCACTGCCCTGAACACCTCAGTGCTGCTGCTCAGCATGGCCCAGGGAGCATGTCTTGTGTGCCCAGGATGAGGGGTCATGCATCCAGCCTCTCCTTGGAATTTTTACTCCTCCCTCTTTCAATCTCCATGGCAGGCTTTAAAAGCTTCTCCCTCACATCAGTGGAGCTCCAGATGCTGACAAACTCCTGTGTGAAGCTTCAGACAGTCCACAATATTCCCCTCACTATCAATAAGGAAGGTAAGACCTTTGGGTTTTGCTTTCACATGGTGCAGCTGCAGTGAAACTCTCCCCCTGCCTGATTTTGTGCTTTCCCCTAGAACTATGCTTACTGTTCCCTTTTGCTGCAGGTTACAGGCATCCTCCAGTATACATGAATCAACTATTAAATGGTCCTTGCATGCAGCTGTTGTGCAAGGTGCTGGAGTGCCTGGTGGAGTCCTAGCCTGGGACAGCTTTGAGCTGTCTGAGAATCCTTTGGAACAACACTAGTTGGCCAAAATTGTGTCAGGGACCATCCTAAATTACTACTTCACCTACTAAAGTAGACTTCACCTCTGTAATTTACTTCTTCTCCTTAGAATTTCTTCCATGCTGTCTTGCTGATCCTAGGACTGTCACTGTAAAAGCCCCCTAGTGCCAGAAGCTATTACAGGTGCCAGCTGTGGAACAATCTCCTGTCTGGCTGAAGTGGTTGTTATGTGCTCCTGCCATCCCTGGGGACAGTTCACCCTCTGCTCATTAACCTGTGTAATATCAATCTCATCACTCTCACTCTTGGCTCCACTATGAATGTAACAAATCTCTTGTGTCTTTCGTGCAGATGATGAATCCCCGGGTCTCTATGGATTCCTGAATGTCATTGTCCACTCTGCCACAGGATTCAAGCAAAGCTCAAGTGAGTTGCAGTTGTGGGACACACAAGAGGTACTGATAGGGTTGGATAAGCCATGTGCTGGGACAGCTGGGCATGGATTGCAGCATCTGTGATGATGGTGAGGAAGTGTTTTGGGGAACTGAAGTTCCTACTCTTAAATCTCAAAAAGATCACCATCAAGGATCCAGCACACAGCATTTATTGTTAGGCCTAGTCTGTTTGAGGTTTTAAGGAGTGTTTGCTGATTACCCAGCTGCTCTAGAAACAAGTCAGCTCTTACCCTGAATTCTTTCAGCTATATTTTGTTTCACAGTGAAAGTACGGAAGGTGTTGTATGACATCTGGAATTTTTGTTGGGAAGAAAGTAGTGTTAAAATTCAGGGAAATTACTTTATAGAAGGATCAAAAAAGGTAACAGAGCTTCTTGAGGACAGCTGGGCTGATGAAGGAACATATGTATGGGATGGTATTACTGGTACTAATACAGAGATGACAGAAATGAAGGCACCCTGTACAAGTGATTAATGCAAGTTAGGAGATTCTAGATACTTTTTAAACATTTTTGTCCCTGTCTCCCCTCCTCAGATTTGTACTGCACATTAGAGGTGGATTCTTTTGGGTACTTTGTGAACAAGGCCAAAACAAGAGTTTACAGAGACACCACGGAGCCCAACTGGAACGAGGTGGGTTTGATTTTTCTTGATGTGACTTGTTCCATGTGCCAAACATCAGTGCATGATGGAAAGAAGACCTGCCAATGGAAGAGGCTGCTTCATGCTCAGTGCTTGTGCTGCATATGCTGCTTCTCAGGAAACACTTTTCTGCCAGGTTCATTTGGCTTTCAGGGCTTGCAGAAGATTTTCTCTTGGATGAGCAGTAGTTGGACAAAGAGTCTTGTCCAGTATTTTAAACAGATGCATGCTTGATAATTCATTTAAAGACGCAAGTAAAAATATTTTGAAGGAGATGGTTTTGTTTATTTGTTGAGAGGGTGAGAATTAGCTATAGACATTTTGCTTGTTTACAGCCAACCCAGACCTGCTGGTGAGCAAAATTTCTTACAAGGAAGGTGAGCAAATTTGTGTCTTTGAATAATGCTTTGCTGAGACATGTGAAACTTGACTAAGGAGTAAACCATCTTAGTCTCCAATTTGACCACCTTATAGATACAAAATACAATTTCAGCTTATTTCTAGACCAGTTCTGGTAGGGAGGAGGTTTTGGCCAGTCTTTAAGTGTTCTTCTGATGAGTATTAAGAAGACTTGTATTGATTATTCTGAGACTGGTGTCCTCTTGTGATGCCAATTGCTCTTTCCTTTCCTGGTGCCCTGCAGGAGTTTGAGATTGAGCTGGAGGGCTCACAGACACTGCGGATTCTGTGCTATGAAAAGTGCTACAACAAAACCAAGCTCACCAAAGAGGATGGAGAGAGCACAGATCGCATCATGGGGAAAGGACAGATCCAGGTAAGACTGCTCAACTCATTCCTGATACCCTTACTGCAAAACATCACAGGACTTTTGAATCCTGGAGTTCACCGCAGAGGTTTCTTTCTGCCTTCTGATTGTCTCAGCACTGAAGATTTTTCCCTCATATAGTGAGGTACACAGTGTTATTCACAGGCAGGAAATCAGCAGCTTTGTCCCTCTTGCTTTGTGCCCTGTGCCTGCTCTAGCATATTCCCTTACGGAATAGCTGCTTGTTTTGATCTCTCATTTACCCATTAACTTCTAAACTTCCACAGCAGTGTATAGGAACTGCAGTGCTCCTGGGCACTGGTGAGGATGCTTCATTTGTGACAGGAGGATGCAAGAACATTCTCTCTACTCTGTAAATCATGTGCAGAAAGGCTGCCATCTGTGTGTGCTGGAAGCCGATGGATGTGTTGGCCAGGCCCAGGGACAGCCTGACTGTCCTAGTGACTGCCATGGCCAGAGTGTGGCATCCGTGACAGCACGCAGCATCCGAGGAACATTTCCACTGCTGAGAGTCGGCCTGGGACACTTTGTGTGGCAGATGTGTAATAGAGTGGGGGAGGTGATGATTGTAAAGGGCTGCTGCTCTTGGAGAGCTGCTGTGATAGAGCACTAAAGCTGGATGTAGGAGAAATCAGGCCATGTGTGGAGGAAAACATGGGGAACATATGTCCCCCATCTTCTTCCAATTTGTTGCTCTGTCTGTCCACAGCTTTAGGAGGGTTTAAATGCCTGCTCTGAAGGCACATTCTTTGTGTTGGAGTGGCTGTTGAACAGAACAGAGACCCTGCCCAGATACCTTTTCCTTTCTGGCATGTTTAAAGATCTCAGCAGTTCCCCTCCATTTAGGTCTGGCTGTCCATTTCCCTGTGGATGACAGCTTTCCCTGGCACTGGTCATGCAGGCCAAGGCCATTTGTGGGATTGCAGAAGCAGCTTGGGCTGAGGGTGGCCTGTGGGATCACATCCCACCTTTGGTGGGGTTCATTGCCTAAATGACTTTGATCAGGCCTCTTCTTTCCCTGTGTCCTGTTTTCAGGGAGAGCTTTTGTCTCAAATGCATGGTGGGATTTGGAATGGAGCTCGTGTGCAGATCAATAAATGCCAGCACAGGGTATCTCCTGTGTGTGTGTGTCTCAGCTGACCAGAAATCCCTATGTCCCTTCAGCTAACAAAGGCTATTTTCCACGGAGCTGAGCAACTACAAAAGAGCAAGTTTTCAGCCCTGAAATGCCCTGGAGATTTGTGTGCTCATAACAGAGAACCCTGAAATCACTGACCTGCTAAATTCTACAAATATTTTACACAGAAAGATTAAAAAAAAAAAAAAACGAACAAAATCTTTCCGATTTTTGGCAGTTTTTTCCTTCTCACAGCCATGGGCATTTTTATGCACAGAAATTGTATATTCTGTAAATATATTTTATGCTTTAAGCAGAAATACTCTTTGATGGCAGTTAAATGTTAATTGCCTCTTGATTCTTTTAAAGACACCTAATTAGTGGGAAGATTAAAAAAATCAATTAAAATGTTTTTAATTAATGTACAAATGTTGCATTCTGTTGTATTGGCATATTCAAAAGTTATCTTGCTTTCTGTAAATCCCCTTTGCAATTTATAAAGAAACTTGATGAATTGCCAGAGTAACCTTTTAATTTTCAGTGAGTTCTGTCCCATCATGGATTTCAAACACAATTTCATTGTCGTGAGATTGTCTGGTGAGATTTTTGGGTTGATAAAAATTATTAAAAGTTTTGATTTTGGTTTAGTTCTATTTTTGAAGTAAACATTATTTCTCTATTAAGAAACCATAATAATGCAAAAACAAAATCTGATTTCAGCCTGTGGCTGAAAGTTGGCAATGTTCTTCTAGGTACTTTTATATCAAATTTTGTTTACCTGTAGTTTATCCTGAGCTTTCTGATTTGTTGTTGCACTGTCATTATTCAGCCCAAGTCTGTCTGTCTAAAGGCCGGGTCTATGAAGTTGGGGAGGATTCTTGTTTCATAAATTCCCTCTAGTTAAAAACTCTGGGAACATGAAGAGTCGTGCCTGCATCCTCATGTTTATAAAAGCAGAGAGGTTTCTCTGTTGGCTAAATTGCAGTGTATTGTTAAGCCAAGTATTATTGTAAATACGCAACTTCCCACTACTGGGAATTCTGACTCACCAAATACTGAGCCTCAGTGATGAAGACAATCAAGGAGACGAGGACTGTTTTGGCTGTAAAAATGTTTATTAAATCTCTCCGTTACATTAAGGCAGTGAAGGAAGGAAGGCTGGAAATTGGTCCATGTAGTCACAAGTTTCCAGGAATGGGCAGCAATTTTAATAGCTCCCATTGCTCATATTTTCTTTTCCTATGGAATATTTTATTTGCCTGTCTTTATAGCCAGATGCAAGAGCTGCTTCTTTCCTGCCAGTCTGCAAGTTTTTTATCTCTGAAACATAAAGCCATGAGGTTTTAGTGTGGGAGAACCTCTTGTAAATGTAGAAGTGAAGTCCTCAGCAGACCTGGGCACAGCAGTGCTGGGTGTGCAGTGTTGAACTGGCTGGCACACATGGCTGGGGCTCCTGGTGCACCCCAGGCATGAGAAATACTGTTCTTGGGTACACTGGGAGACTGAAATTACTTGGGGGACTAAAGGAGAACAGAATGGACATCACATGATGGGAGGAAATGTGAGGTTTAGTTCAGCTGTGGGCATAAGCCCCTCTCATTGTGAGCACCCTGGGCTTTTCTTTCTGCTTCTGCCTTGCAGTCCCTCTTTGGCACTTTGGCTCCTTGAAGTTTGCACTCCACATGACAGACACATGCCCATGTTTGGAGTGTAGCAGCCTTTTGTTTGGTGTTGAGACTGTACCTAAGTGGGCACATTTGTCAGCAGGACCAGCCTTGGGAACAGTGCTTGAGTAAAGTGATACTTCACCCTGTGATCCAGCTCCTCCCACTGGTGCCTCCTAAAAATGCTATTTCCTTTGTTGTTTTCTTTTTCTGCATGATCAGCTCAAGCGAAATATTTCCTTCTCCCTCACAGCAGTGCTGGAAAATCAGGGAGGATGTGACCTTAGATCACTCATTCTGTGGAGCAGCACCATTCCTCTGTTGCCTTGCAAAACAATCACTCTTATCTTAATTATCTGGGATGTCTCATAGCAGTGCCCATGGCTATTTCAGGCATTAAGTTGTTTTCTGTGTAAACCAGATTGTCCCATGCTGTACCTCCCAAGTGTTAACTTGGAAACCTTTTACTCACTCAAGCTTGTTTAAACAGTTTGCTGAAGCAGAACATTGTCCCAGCGATGAAAATAGAGGGGGAAATGAAGAAGGCAGTGGGTCATGGCTAAAGGGTGATGGTGAGAAAGATTAACCTGTCAGTGGGGAGCTGTGAGAAGAATGGGGTTATGGCAGGACTGGGAGTTCCCAGCAGCAGTGAGACTTTGACAACATGTATGTCACATCAGATACAATTCAAAATTGATGGAGTGTAAACTTGCCTGGGAAATGTAATAAAGGGAAGAAGTAATGTGAGTGAATATATAAAACACACTAACCTTAATGTTCTGCAGTCCATGCTCTTTCATTTCTACTGAGGCTTCTTTGCTTTTCTCTCCTTTAGCATGCTTTCTTTTCTTTCTGGGAAAAAAAGAAATCATGATCAAGCTCTCTGTAGTGGTTCCCTAGAGCATAGACACCCTTCCTAGTGCCTGCCTTGCATTTGCCAGAGCAGCATCCCCAGTTTGCCTTTTTCCAGGTTCTCACCATGCTGCTGTGCAGTCTCAGCCTTTCCTGCCCGCTGTGCCCTGTCTGAATTCAGTGCTGAGCTGCTACAAGGGCCAGAGACCTGCACTCAGAAACCCCTGTGGTGCTGAGCTGCTTTGTTCTCCTGTGTTTTGGGTAGGACACAGAGAGGTATTGGCTTGATTCATTAGTGAATTTGGGGCTGTTGCTTACCACTCCAAATACCAAAGGCCACAGGGGGACTGGAGGGAGCAGCAAACAGACAGCGTGGTTGGTTTGTATTTTCCTGTTCAGCATGAGCTTTTGGTGGGGACTGTGCAAACAAGCCCATGTGATACAGCCTGTGAGGGTTTAGCAGGTCTGTCCTATTTGCACAGAGCATGGAAACAACACAGTGGCTCTCTTTCAATGGAGATGGGGCAGGTCACTCAAACCAAGCAACTATTTGGGGGAACTGTGTAGATGAGCAGTAAATTCCACTGTCAAATGCAGACAGCAGTTGCACAGTCCCTGCTTGAGCTGGCACAGCTTGCTCAGAGCTGCCTCCCTTTGCCATGCTGGCCATGGATTGCATTATTCTACTCAGTGTCCCTTCTTTCAGGTCACTGATTTTCAAATTAGGCCAGAAGACAGCATGGCCCCATTTGTCCTCTATGCTGGAGCATCATTCTTGCTAGCTCACTGTCCTCAGTGTGCTCTCTCTTTGCCTGCTCCAGCTGCTCTTTCCCTCTGTTGCTCTTCCTGGCCTCAGAAGGTCAGTCATCACTTGGGACCACGACTGCAGCTTGATTGAAGTCCCAGTGACAGTTCTTGGTTTCCTGTTGACTCTGTTATGTCCTACTGTGACTTACCAGACTGTTAGACCTGATCTTCCTGTCTCAATGTTGCTGAGAGTTTATTCAAGCTTTGCTCTTCTAATAGCTTCCATCATTTTGCTTTGTTATTTAAAAAGCACCTTGGAGGAGTTTGGGATTTTTTCCCCTTAATTGCTGTTGTTATTGCCAGTGATTTATGCAGGGTTGGCTGGATCAGCCAGCCCTGGTGCCTGTTCTCCCTGGCTGTCCCATTCAGTACAAGCAGGAGTCAAACAGTAGGAGGGAGTGCAGGGGTCCTGCCAGCTCTGCAGGAGAGTTCAGAAACAAGGGAGCAAGAGGGAGCAGCAGGTACGTGGAGGTTTATTCGTAGGCCTGGCTCAGCCCCAGCAGTTAACCAGCGAGGAAAAGTCTCTGTGAGCTCTCAGCATCACCAAGGAAAAGTCTTTGCAAGTTCTCAGCTCCAGCACTCTGCTTCTGCTTGTCCTTTGCAGCAGTGTCAAAGTCACTCTTGAGACAGAGCAGGATGGTGTTTGGCTCATAGGTTTCAATAGCTATTTACTTGCTTTTGTTTTGTGCAGTGGCAGGAATTCCCTGGTCATTACTGAGACATATCCAGTAATACCTGTTAGCTTAAATAAACTGTAACTGGAGTCTGCTGGACTCTTCCTTTAAAGTTTTTGGCAAATATTCAAACCTTCTTTCCCCTTTAGTCTTAAGCTATAAATAATATAGCTCCCTGCTATAAATAATACCCTCAGTGACTCCATTCTAAAAGCATATGGAAAACTGGTTCCCAGCAAGAGGATTGGCTGTGTCCATCAGCAGGGCCATTTTGGCAGCTTAACCAGATGACTCTTCAGAGCTGGAGATCAAGCTTTCAGGAATACTTAGCATGGTTACTCCTCATAGGAAACCAGACACTTCAGAAATGGTTTCCTCTTGATTCTGGGAAAGAATTCAGTTGTTGAAAGAAGTCAAACTTCCAGCACGGAAGTGCAGGGTAGAACAGCCTAGAAACTGGCCAGCTCGTAGGGCTCTTGGCCAGCCCCACAGGCGGGGGCGGATCTGCTCTGCCGGAGTTAAAAGCGAACCCCCTTGGCGAGCAGTCCTGTGTTTGGGGTTGCTGAGGCACTGAAGCCAAGCACTGCTGCCCATTGGCCTCCTGGACCTCTGCACAATCCCAAAATGTGGGAGCTGCTGGTTACTGACAATTCCTTACAAGGGCTCTTCAGGAGTTTCTGCCAGCGTTGCACCTACAGGAGCCGGTCCAGTTCGACAGGGAAGCATGTGTGTGCTGGCAGCATCCCGCTGTGGGCTCACGTCCGTAACAGAGCGCGCAGGGATAAGGTTGGCCTCACTTGTTCTGTTGCTGCTGGGGTCTCTGCAGTGGGAGGAAGCAGGGAGGAACTTTACTCTCTGCTGCTTGCCTTTCTTTGGGGAGTGGGGAAGGGCGTGGGTGGGCTTGTCTCTGTAGTTGTCACCAGCACTGGGCTGCTCTGTTGATGATCTGAGTGCAACCATGACCGTGTCTAAGCTTTCCCAGAATTTCCTGCAGCTGCCATTGTTCCAGCATTTCCCTCCCCTGCCAGAGCTCTCTGGCCCTGCACAGGACTCTGTGAGAGGGGGGAGCTGTGCTGCAAAGCAGCTCTGGTTATGACTATCTGTTTGCTGACAGCAGTAAACCCAAAACAGAGTTTGCTGCAGTTGCCTCTTCCTGTTCTTACTGTGCCTCTGTGTTCAAGAGCCAAGTGTTACAAAGCTGTCTCAGGAGGCACCGAATTTTTGCTTTGGCTGGTGCCAATGGCTGATGAAGCCTCAGGGCAGACAGCTCCTCCTCTCTCTTGCCAGCCTCCCTGGAGCTCAGTGCCACTCCTCAGGCCTTCAGATGTGTTTGGGCTCTCCCAAGGCAGTAGTGGAACTGCTGGGTGATGTTCTAGAACTTGAGTCAGCTTCTCCCCAGCCTCATCACTGTTTACTTGAGATCAAGCAAAGCTGAAAATGAGAGATTGGAATTTGTTTCTGTTTAATGAATGCTTGCAATAGCAGGGCCTGGTGTTCTTCTTGCCTCTATGCTCAAATAGAAATTAAAAGGAATAGGCTGGTTGAAGGATAACTTTTCATGATTTCTCAGCAGATTCAAACAATGGTTGTGCTCCCTGAGGTTGCCTTTATAGTTGAGCAGACACTGCTCTCGTGTTGCTGGGTTTTCCATGTGTATGAACCCCCATCAGCCCTGTTTAGAGAACTGCACAGTATTCAAAACCTGGTTTCCTCTGAAACCAGGGAAACTTTGGAGTGTGGGTTATCCTATGGAAAAGAAACAGCAAGGTAAAAGTGATCATGCTCTGCTCACTTGCAGAAGCCTTCCAGGCTAGCTGGTTTCTCTGAAGTCTGTTCCTAGCTCATGGGTAACTTCTGTTTTCCAGCTGGACCCACAGGCACTGCAGGACAAAGATTGGCAGCGCACAGTCATCTCAATGAATGGGGTAAGTGTGGCAAACAGAAATTAGCTCTGCTTCTGTACCTCCTGTGGGCTTTATTTCTTTGCTTTTCATTGCAGCATGAAAAAACAAAAAAAAAGAAAATGTTTAAAAAGTAACAGCTGTTCTCTTTGGTTCAGGTGGAAGTGAAGCTATCAGTGAAGTTCACCAGTCGGGAGTTCAGCCTGAAAAGGATGCCGTCCCGCAAGCAGACCGGCGTGTTTGGGGTCAAGATTGCCATTGTCACCAAGTGAGCTGATGGGTCACGTTTCTCCCTGTTGTGTTTCAGGAAGACAACTGGCCAGTGGGTTCACCTGCCTGTGTCCCCATGAGGGGTTTGGCAGTCCAGCCTGCTCCACTAGTGTAGGAGTGTAGATGTGGCTGCAGACAGGAGATGCTTTACAATCTATGAGGTTCATTTTTTGCAGAGATAAAAGCTAATGTGCACACAGGCCGTTTACTGACAGCCTATCACTCCTCTGAATTCCAGAAATCCCCCTGGCCTTTGCCTTCTCTGTAGATAGCTGACATGGTCACAAATTTCCAGAGCCACTGAACAGTGATGTTTCCTTTCCATAATCAAGAATGTTCAAGGTCTTTGAATCCCATTGTATTATTTTAACCCCTGATCTTTTGTCATGAATCATTTGCCAGCAGAAACCTGTTTGTTCTGTTGTAGGGTTTGGGAAGTGTGGAATTTCCTCCCCATGGAATTGTATCAGTTTGAAAGCAGCAGAGTTGCTATGTATCCAAGGGCTGTTTGGGAACCCTCTCTTTACCTGGGCAGAGTTGCAGGCTCTAGGGGCACTGGGACCTGGCCGAGAGCTCAAATGCTCAGGGAAGCTGCAGAACAGCCAGAGCCAGGCTGAGACAGTCAGAAAATCCCCTCCAGTTTTAAAAGGAGTTTTTCAGTTCAGTCCTGACTGCCTGCTCAGAATTCCTACCACCCCATTTTGCAGAAGAGGTTTGCACAGGGAAACGTTGGGATGCTTGTAGCCATCCTGGCTGGCTGGGGAACAGGCACAGAGGGCCTGGGCTAAACTGAGCTCTTCTGTCCGGCTTTCTTCAGGAGAGAGAGGTCGAAGGTGCCGTACATTGTGCGGCAGTGCGTGGAGGAGATCGAGCGGCGCGGGATGGAGGAGGTGGGGATTTACCGCGTCTCTGGGGTTGCAACCGACATCCAGGCTTTGAAAGCTGCCTTTGATGTCAGTAAGTATTTGTCTGATTTTTCCCTTTGCTCTGTGAGAATCCACCTGAGCACCCTGTCAGGTGGCTGTGCTATTTTTAATCTTATGTTGCCCAAGAAACATTAAGATGCAGATATTCTCACTCAAGGAAAATAATTTTAACCCTGGCCGAATATTTTATTTACTGATATAACCCAGGAGATAGAGAAGGATGGATCCTTGTACCAAACCATGCTTTTTTTATTCTTCCCAGTAGACATGAAACGATGGCTTTACCTGCCTTGCCAAATCTTTGTAAATAGTAGACACCTCTCTGGGGGGAAACATCAGCAATCAGAAGTCATAATTTCTTCACTGTAGTGAGGTGCCCAAATTAATAGAAATCCTTAAAGAATGTTAAAACAAATTTTTAAAATTCTGTTAAATGTTGGCTTAGACTGCTTTATGAAACCAGTTCTGGTTTGTGTTTAGTTTATGGAGAGGAGATTTTTTTTTGTTCTTAATAGTAATAGGACTGAAATATAAGCCCTGAATTGTCTTAGCTACACTCAACAGGGAGTTAGAGAATCTCAGAATCTCTTATTCTAAGCTGTTAGAGGCAGGGAATTGGAATAACAACTGCTGTCAGTAATAAAAGTTGAAATGCATATAAATACAGACAAGTAGGGCTTGTTCAGATGAGGCCGGGGTCGCTGGCACAGCACAGCTAGCCCTGGGAGTGTGAGGTTCCCTGGCCTGATGTAAAGCAATGAAGTGTTTGCAGTCATTTGTGCAGGGCTTCTCAGCTAGAAGGTTGCTCATTTAATCTGGAGAAATGTAAACAGGAAAACTCCCAGCTATTTGGGCAGAGACAAAAGATAAACAGACCCAAAGCAAGGAAAAGAAGGAATGCAAGGCCAGCAGTTCCTTTACCCTTCCTCTACTCTCCCCTCTTTCAGATAACAAGGATGTGTCAGTGATGATGAGTGAGATGGACGTTAATGCCATTGCAGGCACCCTCAAACTGTACTTCCGGGAGCTGCCGGAACCGCTCTTCACAGATGAACTGTACCCCAACTTCGCTGAAGGCATTGGTAGGTGCAGCACAAGGAACCCTTGAGACTCTTCTATAGGAGGCTGCTCTTAAAGCATCATAAAACCCATATTTATGGTGTTGGACAAGCTGTGAGGGGAGTGGAACGGAGCTCGGAATGACATTGCCTTCCCACACGGTGCAATATGGGCGCTTGCCGTGCTGTTCTGCAAACTGCAAAAGCCCAGGTTTCTGAAGGAGAGGTTCAGGTCAGAATGCCAGCCTGCCTGCTGGGGCTGTGTACAATCACTGCCCAGGCAGGCTTCAGGGAAGTCCCCTTTGGAGGGGAGGGGGATGTGTACTTCATCTTATCTTGATGCAGAGAAAAACATCAATGATTGAAAGCCTCAAAGCACTTGAACTGCTTAAGAGAAAAGGATTCTTAATGCATTTGTGAAATAAAGGGACGAGATGCCTGGGGTATTGATGTGCAACTGTGACCTTCCAGCCTATGAAGATGTAGTCACAGTCCTTTTAGGACCATCCATAGTGGCTGCCCTGGGACATGGCTCAGTCAGATTCAAATTCCCTGCCTGTGGTGATGTCTTGTTCTCTGTCTTGCAGCACTTTCAGATCCTGTTGCAAAGGAGAGCTGTATGTTGAATCTGTTGCTATCACTTCCAGAACCCAACCTTGTGACATTCCTTTTCCTTCTGGACCATTTAAAAAGGTAATATGTGGTTCCTTGAGAATTTAATAGCCTGGCTATTTGAAAAGTGGAGCCTTTTCTTTAAATACCTGCTGAATCAGAGAAATGAAGAAGTATTTGCTGATCTGCTGTGAACGCTCATCAGATAACTATTGTCTCATACTCACTTAGTGAGGCAGTAAATCCTGAATTCCATTCCCACTCATACTGAAAAAGGATTAGAACTGGAGGAAAGGAGTAACAAAAGAGTCAGGGCTTATCTATCACAAATGCAAATTCCTGCTGAAATGTCACTGAGACTTCACCTGCATCGGGATACCAAGACCAGGAAAGGTTTTTGTATGAACCATGAAGCTCTGGCCATAGTTAAGGTCTAGGGGACCCTGTCTCAGAAGGTGTCTGAAATACAGTATGATCAATTTTTTAATTCCAGCACTTTGCCTAACTGCAGTTGTCAGTTCCTTTTGTAGTGAAGTCTGTCTGATTTTGTCTATGCCTTTGTAATATGGTTGTAACTGTGAAAAAGTATTGCCATGCATTTGACATTAATGCAATAAGCTGGTTTAATGCTTGCCCAGTGTGTTAATTTGCATAAGTATGTTGTACATACCAGAGACTGTCCCTGGAGACATGAAAGATCTTCTTAGGAGATTCTGGATTAAGATCCAGGAAATCTGGGCTCTACTTGTGTTTCTGCTGCAGACTTTCCTGCCCTTGGGCAAATATTTTAAACTTTGTGCCTCAGTTTCTCATTTATAAAACTTAGATCTATTTATGAAGGTCTGCCATGTGCTTTGTTTCTTCTCCCAGGGTTGCTGAGAGGGAAAGCGTGAACAAGATGTCCCTGCATAATCTTGCCACTGTCTTTGGACCAACACTGCTCAGACCTTCAGAGAAGGACAGTAAAATCCCTGCTAACCCAACCCAGCCCATCACAATGACTGACAGCTGGTCACTAGAAGTCATGTCCCAGGTAAAATCTTGAATATGCCACTCCATCTTGTGAAGACACTTTCTCAGAAAGCACAGTCCTGTGGCAGGCCTGGCTCAGTGACCCCACTGGGTTTTCATGGTCATTTTTTGGATAAACATAAAACAGCTTTTGTCCTCACAAAGACGTTTTAGCCTGTCTGTAGGACAGTGTTCCTTCAGGCAGATCATTTGCATCTGTATGAATACAGCTCCTTTTTCATGAAGGAATGTCTGTGTGTGTGCATCCTGTGTGTGCTTGTGCATGGGAACAGTTTTTGGGGAGTTGTGTCCCAGCACCATGCTGCTGGCCTGGGATAAAAGAATCAACAGTGTTTCCACAATGCTCCTTGGCACTTAAACCACCTTCACTGATGCACAACAAAATTCTTGAGCCACTGCTGCCTTTGAAGGCTATGCAGAGGATTGGAGCACTCAGTGACAGAGCCTGTGTCACTGAGTCAGACTGGTTTCTCTGTTGTGTAATGGCAAATTCTAGATTGAATTTTTTCTGTGCTGGAACCACCAGCACCATTGTTCCATCTGGAATCTATAAAGAGTATCTCTGAAGCACTGCAAGTTCTACTATTTCTAGTGCTGTTATACAGTGTATGAAATACACAGCTGCTAGGTGTCCCAGAGAGAGCTGTATCACCAGCTCTCACATAGTCATGATAAGAATGAGTTTTTACAGGGCTTTATTGAACTACCTTGTAATTTCTCTTTCCAGGTTCAAGTTCTTCTGTACTTCCTGCAGCTAGAGACTATCCCTACCCCAGACAGCAAGAGGCAAAGCATTCTCTTTTCCACAGAGGTGTAGGTGCCTGTGGTACCAACAGGACACAAACTGCTTTTGGCATAACTGTCACCCTGGGAAAAAGATGAGTGGTGTTTCCTGGGACTGGCCTGTTCCTGTGCTGGGGAATTCCAGCCCTCAATGCTTCTGCTGTTTAACCAGACACAAGCTGGAGAGAATGGAGAAAAAACCCCCTTGTGCTGGCAGAACCAGAACCGACCGGAGACGGAGCTGTGCGGAATCTCCACTAGAAGGAGCAATAGACACTTGGACAAATGCACCAGGGAGTGCGGCGATTATTCTTGTTGGGAATGTGACAGAAGGTATTCCTCATTTTATGGATTTAATTTATCATAAAGAAACTTCAAGATTTCTACTGGACCACTTGACAGGACACCCCTTTTTGGGAGAGGGGGCATTAAAGGATATATCACAACTGTGTCTTTAATAACTGCTGTTTTTCAAGTACTGTTTGAGGCCACAAAAAATAGCATTGCTTTGCAAGAGGAAGGAGAAGAGAAGGGATCTAAAATTCTCTCCACAGAAATTCAAGTCTTGATTTGAATATGGTTTTAAATCAAAAAGTTTTACATACAGCTAGAACTTTTGTCTGGTTGGGAGCTAGGTTTGGTTTCTTTTTTTGGTTTGTATGGCTTTTTGGCTCACCCAGCCCTTCCCATAGAAATGTTTGTACACCCCAGGGAAGGAGATGCCCTGCTCTTGCCTATGTTGCACTTCTGATGGGTTTTGTTGGGTTGAGACAGACTCAACAAAATTAAATAAATAAATACAGCAAATTAAAGAGAGGCAGGGAGGATAGTAGTCAGTGATTCTTTTGTTTGTTTGCTTATAAAAGCAGGGGCAATATTATCCAGGAAGGATTTCTATAGAAATCCTTAGACCCCACCAAATTTAATAAAAATTAATTGGGAAGACTATTAATTCCCAACACTCCAAAGAAAATACATTATCTCTGCAAAAGTAATTGAAGAATTTGTGGATTAAAAAAAAAAAAAAGTTAATGGCTCTCAGTTTGGCTGGCTGCTTACTCCAGACTTTTATCAGAACATCTTTTTTGTGATACTTGAATTTTTGGAGGCTTTGTACATTGTTTCTACAAGAGTCTTTTTCTGATAGATACAAACACTCTGAAAAAATGCCAGAATGTACTTTATGGACAATCTAGCAAGTAGCATGCATTGTGGATTCTCCAGAAATTCCAAACTGTTTTAATTAAGAGCAGTGGAGAAATTTCTGTGGAACTCCATCTAACAAAAGGTCTGGCCAAACACCAATTTCGTATTTCCCTCCCTAAATCAGTTGAAGTTACAGGGGTGGAAAAGGCAGCAGCATTTGTCCAGGGAATTGAAACTGCAGAATCTAATTGCTGGTATCCAGAGCTGGCATTCTGGCTCTGAAGCAGATGTGCCAAACATCCTGGGGGTGGGAGTGATGCCATTTTCCTAAACTATTCCAGCCCCCACTACTCCTACCCAGCTATGCAGCGTCCATTTAGTGGCATCTGTCCATCATCATCCTGGCAAGAAGAAAAAAAGTACAGCTGGAAGACAAGGGAAGGAATTGGCACAAAAAGGGAAGGGAGGGACAGATTTTGAAAGATTGGTAGGTTGTCAACATCATTTGGAGGGAAATATGACACAGACAGCAACTCTTGTGCTGAATTGCACATTTTCTGCTGGGTGATCTGCAAACTCAATTAAAAAAAAATAGCAAAGAAGTATTTAAAGCAAATAGAAAAAAAATAAAGGGAAATGATTTTGTAGTCACTGTAATTCTGACTGCTGCAGAATATTAGAAATTATTGTACTGTGAAGTTGCGAAATCAGAAAGGAAAAAATATAAATTTCAATTTTGTGAGTATATCAATATTTTGCATGCTTTGTAAGGATTCTTATAGGAATTTAATATTGCTTAGTATCCCTCCCTCCTTAGGTCTGGGAGCAAACCTCTTTGTAATGTAATGTACAACTAGAAATTCCTTCTCTCTTGTATGTATTTCCATGACATTCCAACTTCTGAACCCACAAAAAAGAAAAAACTGTGTGTAGTAGGAGGTGCTTTTTGGGGGAGGGAGGGAATGAAGGCAAGGAAACTTGAAGGCTTAAGATTTTGATTTTTTTTAATTTTTATTTTCATTTTTTGCCTGTTTGAAGGTAAAAATAAGTCACAATCCTGAAAAAGCATTGACTTGAGCCATGTCCTGCAGAGCAGTAAAGCATTCTCAGTGTTTGTTTCTCTGTATTTGTTCTCCCTTTTCCCCAGCAGCTCTACAGCAATCCTTGCACTCCTGCCTGCTCCCACTCGAGGGATGGGCCTGAGGCAGGAGCACTGCTCATGACTTCAGGGAAAAGGGGGAAAAAACCCAAGCTACACCTGGTGCTGGGTGATAGCCTTTTCCTTTGGTGTTTGGAATCTGTGGCTGCTCCTTGCAGTGTTGAAACTGGAAAGCAATACCATAATGACTGTGCCAATTTACTTTTGCCCAAGTTTTTAATTTTTATTTATATAGGAAGTTAATTTTAATATTAAATTACAGATCTATAGTATGTAACCATGAGAAAATTGCTTTTGCTTTGGTTACTGTGACAGGTTGTTGCTGTCAGTCTCTCAATGCTCAGTTCTAATGTAATGTTATCTAACATGCAGGCATGTGGATCAGGGAAAAAAGTTAATTTAACTTAACCCATTAATTATTTCCGTTAAGTATGAATATGTTTTCCCCAAAGCTGGTAATTTTGGGCTGGAAAAGATAGTGGATCATATTGCTGATGATGAAATCATGGACTGATTTGAAATACGAGAATTGATTTCTTGAGTTTCCTTTAATTTTGCAAATATTTTTTTTTCCAATAGTCTTATGTTTTCAGAAATTAAGTATTTCGAAAAGGCTTTTATGTTTTGGTTGGTTTTTCCCCAGGGATGTTGGTTGGGGTTTTTTGTTTGTTTGGAGAGTTTTTTTTGTGTTTTGTGTTTTATTTTTACTTTTTTATTTTTTAGTAAGCCTTATCATTCTTAAACAAAAAGGGAAATGCAAAACTTGGCTTTAGAAAAGGCCTTCTGATTTCTCCTTTTATACATTCCCTTGTGAGTTGTGTCAGAAAACTGAACTCTTTTAATTTTCTGTGTTAAAAGGTACAATATAAACAATACAAGAGCAAACTAGGAAAAAGTTACCCTTTATGTGTGAACTGGAAGATTTTACTCCTTCAGTTTCTAATTTATTGGAGAGACTTTTCTACAAATGTTGCTTTCAGGAACAGGAATCTGAAATGTTTAAATTTTCATCTAAGGAAATTCAGGTGATTAGGATAGTCCATGTCTCTCCAGTTTAAAGAGGGAAATAAGCATCAGTTTTCCTGGCATTTAGAAACTACTTAAAATTCTTGTGGGTTTTTTTTTTAACACTGAATAGGTTTTTAAGTAAAATTTTAAGAAGTTAAGCAAATGAAGGGAAAAGTTTTCAAAGATGGACAAGAAATAATAGTTACTAGCTCAGAGTCAGCTTTGTGTTTGCGTGTGCTTTGTATGGGAGGGAAGTATTGGAAACCAAATTTAAATACATCCACTCAAATGCTGCTGGTGTTCTTTATTCTTGCACATTTTTAACAAGTTGAGGTAGTAGCTAAGCTATTTCAGGCTGTATTTTAATGCTGCTATTTTTCAGTGTATCAGCTAAGGGCAAAATCCAGCAGTGTGGTGCCTGTCCTTGCCGGTGCCCATTGCCTGCCTCGGCTCTGGCCGTCATCGCGCGCACGCGGAATCGTCCGGCAGCACGTGGCCCTTGTGGTGCTGGCCATGAGGTGGTGGAACCACAGAGGATATTTATGGGAGGTGCAGGATTTTTACAGTTTATTAGTTCTACCTGTTAAAAACTGTTTTATGGTTGTTCCTGTTAGTTTTCTATGAGTTATTTAAACAAATGGACTATTCCTTAAGGCAGAGGTGGATCTCCAGATTAGTTTGTCACCTGTGTAACACTGGAAGGTATCACAATGTGTTCATTTACCTTAATGTGCCATTCTTGCAAGTGTGTATAAAATGTAAACTGACCAGTGTGGTTTTAAAAATGTTTAAAGTCTGATGGCAAAACCCCAACCTTCTCCAATTCCTCACTAGGTAATCCTTTTCTTTCAGTGCTTGATCACCTATTGGGATAACTTTATCAGATGTGGCATTCTTCTTACGGAAATTTTAGTATAAAACGGGAAATGTTTTAAGAAAAACTTCCCCTTTTTACTTTAATTCAAGATAACAGGGACTTAAAATAACAGAAGACCAAAATATTTGTGCAGGAACTCGGGGGTTCCTTGGAGAAACTTGGGGGCTTTCTTCTTCTGTTCCTTGAAGAAGAAAAATCTGAAAGGGCAATTCCTAGATACAATCAAATTAATCAAATTCTTACAGTCACTTGTTTATGCCCTCCTAAATTTCTACTCCAGTGATGTTTTTCTTTGTAGACTTTGCTAAAATTGTCCTACTACTATTAGAAAAATAAACATGGTACCATTCCCTTCCTTTAACACAGGGCCTGTACAACTGAGATACTGGAGCCTTGGACTAGTATTAGCAATTCTCCATTCTGAACTAGGATGAAACAAATGTTCACGTGTGTTCTATGAACTTTCTAATTGGATAGAATTAAAAAATTAAAATCAACAGAAGCTACAAAGGAAGCACTTATGGTTAATAGAGTGTTCCTTAACAATCTTTAGGGAAAACCAACATAAATGGAAAAGGGAAGCAAAATTAGGAATCGCTCAAGATCACATTGTTTGGGACTAGAATGAGGTTCTCATTTTGAGTTCCAGAAGGTGGCTCATGCCCTAGATAACTCAGCAAAGGCTCTCTTGCCAGTAAATAAACATGAACACAGGAATGCCAGGAATTTATCTACAGCAGCCTCACAGTTCTGATGTGCTGCAACCCCTCTTTCTTGCTAGTGAACAGTCACAGTTTAGTGCTAAGAAAGCAAACCTTATCACTTGCTCTCTACCATTTCCCCCTGAGGCAGCAGCTATAGCACAGGTATGTTATCATAGGTGAACCACCACCACAAGGAAGCAAAAAGCTCCCAGAACCACAAAGTTGGACTATTGTTTAAGCTAGAAGTCTGGTTTTAGGTTGCAAGGATAAAATGCCACAACAATTGTAATGACAGAAGGATTGGGGCAATAGGACCAAAGCAAACCTGAGTGTATGTGTTGTCTTGATTTTCCTGTCCGTGACCATATAATTAGATTTATGTCTTTTGGGTTAAGCAAATTCATAAATGCTCTTGTTGAGAATTATTAAATTATTAAATTACCTAGTTTGCCTCTACTGTTGATTCTCTTTGTGTTACCATCTTACAGTGACATTGCTGGAGACCACTGCAAAACATGCAGAGGTTTTTGCATCATTTTTTTCCTGCTGCCATGTTTCACCTCAGAGTAAGACAGACCCCTCCTTTGCCAACAGAACCACTTCACATCTTTCTGCACTGTAGCAACTATCACACCAAGAAGTTCAGTTTGTAGCAGAACTAGAGAGCAGAGCCCTGGAGATAATTAAAATATTTTCAGTCTTTTTGTGCTGAGTGTACCAGGTACTGCTGAAGTTGAGGGCTGTGTTGTGAGCGAAGTAAAATTCTATTATTGACAGCTGTTCAAGTATATTTAGGAATTAATATAATTACAGAATGCCCAACTAGCAGAAGTGTTTGCTCTACTGCTTTGTCTTAATCACAATCATGTTCAAATCCTCTTGTCAAAAATGGTTCACTAGAATACAGAAAATTTTATTTTGTGCTAGAGCTTTTGCTTTTGTAACTGCTGTGGTCTTTCCCCCAATGGTAGGATGTTCTGAGACATTCTGCACATGAATTGTTTCTCTAATCTGCAGAATGATTTACACCACACGGCATTTTATATCCCTGTGGATGTACAAAAGGGCAGGCTTGTGTACAAAACAGCTTCCTGCCTGCAAGGAGACTCCAGCAGCTTCCTGAACATGACCCCAGGCGAGGGTCACAGCAGGTCCAGCCCACCAGAGAGCAGAGGCCCTGCTGCTGCTTGGGTGCTCCCATCTCCCCTGGGGCAGTTTCTGAGGCTCAGAAGGCAGTTGTGAGTTCCTTCTTACTGCACCCAACCAAGTGATCAAATGCTGATTTAGAATAGCTCAAAATTCCTCTATTTTAATCCCATTTTGGGAGAAACAGGGACAGTGGTAATTTGGGATTATACAAATAGCTGAAAACGCATCTGTATCTAAAACCTATTTCATATATAGTAGACGGCAATGTAAAAGCTGCAATAGCAAAAGGTCATTTCTCCACAAGAGCCTTTTCTACTCCCTGCCTTCTTTACTGCTTCTCACAGCCTAAAAGAAGTCTTGTCTTAGGTTTCACAGTCACATAGAAAGCTTGCAGAATCCTGAATAAAACTTAGCTATGCAGGGACCAATGTTTCACAAGTACTAAAAGTGATTACCAAGGTAGCAAAAAGAGGGTAAGGAATTATTATGTTGGGCTAACTGAAAAGCAACACAATGAAATGTTGAATTTAAAAATGATCTCAGAGCAGGACACTGAAATGTTGTCCTGTCTGTGTCTGTCCAGCAAAAAATAAACAACTCAGCCTTCTCTTGCCTATGTAAGTTGTGTAGTTTGTTCTTATCTCTAGTATTATAAGTGTTTATAATCCATGAAGAATTCCAAGGAAAGGAGTTAAGACTATTTATTTAAATATAAATACAATTAAATTATATAATTAGTCCTAAATTATCAGATGTAGGAGACAAACAACTTGTTATTGTTTGGATAATTTTGGGTTTCATCAGAGCTAATACAGTTGGCATTATTTTAAACACTACCATGTTAGGGAGTCAGTTTCTGACAATTTATCCTGCTGTTGCTAGTGCTTCAGTATCTCATAGTGCTCTGTTTTGGGGAAAGAAAATCTAATCCCAGTAATTTAATATGGAAAAGTGTTGAAACCATACTGCTAAACACCTCTCAGTTTAGACCCAAAGAGAAGGGGAAAGGGAAAAATTGTCATTCTGGATTTTTTTTTTTTTTTAAACTTTCTGAGAAAAGTGGTATGAAAAAGGGATCCAAGAACTGTATTTGGGGGAAAAATGTCTTAAGGCATTTGTAGCCTTTCTTTGTACACAATGTTAAATAAAATCTCCTGTATCTATGTCCTCAGGTTCTTTTGGTCTTATTTAGATAAAAGTGGGCCTGCATTACACTGAATGTGTGAATTGCATTCAGCTGAGTTTGCTGGGGGCATGGAATTTAACACTGCTGTTTCAAAATAAAAGCTGCTTCTTATTTTACAAGGCAAAAGCTGTATCACCTAAAATCTAGAGCTTAGAAAACTAAGCTGAAACAACTTGAATGTGTGGAAATACTTTACGTGGAAGGTAGAGAAATAGCTGAGCAACCCAGTCCATGTTCAGATCTGTATGAATCCTTTTGTAGTTCTGCTTCAAAACCCAGCCCATCTCAAACTTTGTCAACTTTTCATTTGTGTGCAGAACACTTGAACTGTAGTTAGTATTTACTATGAAATCAGCTCTGGCCTCCAGTCCTTCAAACACTGCATGAAATTAGTGGGATTTTGTAGGAATCAGTGTGGAAACTGAACCAGTTATTTAAATCAAGTTAACTTGGTGCTTTATTTAAATATTGTTTAAATTATTATTGTAATTAAAGTACATTTATGTTTGAATACAGTCCAAATTTAATATAATATATAAAACTTTCTACAATAAAAAGATACCTGCTTGAAAGCTCTCTAGCCCATTTCATTAAGTGTGGATCACAAGGGTTACAGGGCTCTATTGCAAGGTTGGAAGTAGATAAAATGTAACTAACTGAGTGGAGTGTTTAAAACTACACTGAGTGTCATGCTTAGGCGTGAACTGCGCAAAGGAGGGGAAACTCGATGACTAGTACTAGTACTCCTGACCAGTGGTGTGGCTGTATAATATAAAATTGTTTTCCAATAGTATTGATGTGGAATTCTTCTGCCAAATGGTTCTCCCTCCACCAGAAAGTGAGCCCTTAAAGTGCAACCACATGGAACAGCAGCCCCTATATGAGCCTGAAAGGGATTGTGTCCTGCACCAGGCACTCTGCACCCACAACCAACTCTTACCGTGTCCAGATCTCTGCTGACTGCCAGCCTGGAGCATCCCAGCCTCTCCTCCTGGGTGCTTTTCCCCAACTGAAGGCCCCAGGTGAGCAAAGCTGCTCCGAGCTCGAGGCGAGCCTGGCACACAGGCCTGAGCAAAGCAGCCGACACACACCCACGGCACCTGGAATGAGGGGGAGCAAATGAAACCTAAGGCTGGAGCAGGATGAGAAAGAACATGAATATAATAACAACAACGGGATGTTCCGTGCAAATTGCTTCACCTGAGCAGGTGTCTTTCAATTTCCAGACAGCCCTGAGGCTTGGACAGGCTGCCCTGGGGCAGCAGCTCCCCTGAGGCCTGTGGGATACAGCTGTCAGTGTGAGGCAGGATCAGCCGTTCCTGCCTGACTCCGGAGAGACATTTGTCTGCTCTTTGTCAGAAGCCTCCAGTTATGGAGATTCTGTAATCCTCTGGGGCAGTCAAACCCAGAGCATAACCACAATGAGAAAGCTTTCCTAGCAGACAGCTGAACCACTCTGCACACATTTCAGCACACAATACTGCAATTTAACGCATTTTTTTTCAGTGACCTTTTCAGTTCCAGAACCAAGATCCAAGGCATATGCACTGTCAGCTAGCAGCTTGTTCATTAATTCACTGAGCTGAGCGACTGGTTCCTGCTGCAAAACAGAAAGCTGAGCCCTTTGTGGGCTACTGTGAGAAATACGTTGTACAAAACAAATGCAGTCACTTTTCACATCCTTAATACATAAGTAGTGCCACTGAAATGCCATCTTTTTAGCTGATAACTTTAAAATCAATCCAAAGGTAGAAACACAGGACAACATTTTGCTGAAGGTGTCATGAAGCAGAAAATCTGACAGAATGACACTGGTCATCCTGTAGGAAAATAAACATCAGGATTATTACTTAAGCATAAAGGAGCATTTCATTGTCAAACGAGTACACCATGTCTGTGCAGCTGCCTGCCAGGGGAATCCCACCAGGTAGGAGCAAGGAGAGTGACAGAGAAATGAACAGGGAAGGACATCTCAATGAAATTGACTTTGTAAGACACAGAAAAGTTTTCCCACCATGTAAATCAAAACTATGTTGCAGTATCTGGCAGCATACATCCTGCCAGTTTTAAAGGGAATTCTGATGTCACAGAGATATCATTTACTTTGATTTATAATGTTAAAAATTTAACCTTACCAAAGATAACTAGGGAACTGTAAATCATACTTGCCCTACCAGTCTGCAGCCTACAAATTCTGTATTCCTGTGAATTCTGTTCATATGAATTCTAGGAAGGAATGTACCTCAAGGGAGAACATGCAACTCAATCTTACACTGAAATGTTTCTTTTGTTAAAACAGCTGAGTTGCTGTTGGGAGAGAAGCTTTAACCTAAATAGAGGAAAAATTTTTCAGGGATGTGTCAAATCAGCACATTTTCTTCATTACTGTGTTCATAGCACTTCCCAGACAGTGCCTGTAAATACAAACTCTGCTATACCTCCCACCAAAGCACCCACGCTGCAATTTAGGGTTATTAACTTCAGTTGCTGGTTATTCATGACAAGTCAAACATCCTGTACAGTGATGGGCTACAAAGCTGAGCTTAGTTTAGTGCGTTTGAAGGGAGCTCAGACTCTGAAAGCTTGTGTGCGTGCACATGAGCTCTTGTAACCTAAGAAGGCAAAGCTATTTCCTACCACAATGTGCTGGTTTTGGCTGGGGTAGAGTTGATTTTCTTCAAGGTGGCTGGTATGGGCTATATTTTGAGCTTGTGCTGAACACAGTAAAGAAAACTCTGGCCCATTTAAGCCTCTACACACATTTAAGCATCTACTTCTCACTCGAATGAAAAGCTACAATTCTAGATCTGGACAGTAAGGCACAGGTTTAGAAGACCCACAGCCTTCCTCCCCCCTTCTTAGTTTTCCAGCACTGTGTGCCCGAGCTTAAAATATTCATGCTTATTCCCCCGCCTCCAAAACCCCCACAAAATAATTGATTTTTTTACCAGTCCCAGATGCGGGCCCTGGGCCGGGGCCGTTGTCGCCCTCCCGCCCTCAGACGGGCAACGAAGCTGGGGAAGGGTGTGGAGAACAAGTGCGATGAGGAACAACTGAGGGGGCTGGGGGGGTTCGGCCTGGAGAAAAGGAGGCTCGGGGGGGACCTTGTGTCCCTCCACAACTCCCTGGCAGGAGGCTGCGGCCGTGAGGGGTCGGGGTCTGCTCCCGGGAACAAGGGACAGGATGAAACGGCCTCAAGCTGCGCCAGGGGAGGTGCAGGTTGGATACGAAGAGTAATTTCCCCACAAAAAGGTTTATCAGACATCGTAACGGGGTGCTCTGGGAGGTGACGGAGTCACCGTGCCGGGACATGTTTAAGGAAAGACTGAACGTGGCGCTCAGTTCATGGCCACATTCTAGACGACCCGGTGGAGCTGGGTCACTGGTTGGGCTCGGCACCTCAGAGTGTTTCCCTCCCTACCTGATGCCGGTACCCCGCGGTTCCGAGGTTCAGGTGAGGAGCAGCCNCCCATCTGGCGCTGACCCCGCGGGGCCGGCGCTGAGGGAACGGAGCGGCCGCGGTCCCGGCTGGCGGGGAGGCGCAGGTTGGCCCGCATTTGCATCCCGCGGTGGAATCATTCGCTTCACGCTGCTGGCTGCTGGCTGTGAGAGGGATGGTGGGTGCGTGTGGAGCTCCCTGAGAAGAAATGCGGAGTGCTCGCGTTCAGCGCTTTCTAGCTGGCTTTTGGTGCGTTTGGGGGCACCTTTGTGTGGATTCTGGGCTCATGCTTCTCTGGAGCGCGATTTTTCTGCCTTTTTAGACCAGAAAGAGCATCTTAAGTTCCAGTTTTGTGCCTGCTGTCTGCCATCCTGTGCCTCACACTATTTTAGCTTCCAGGTCTGTCGTGACCTCGTATTACCAGGGATGTAGGAAGGCAGGTTGCTATAGCTGGGACAAAACCAGTCACCATCCTGTTCTGAGAGGTTCTGTACACTGTGTCTTTAGAGAGAAAAACAATGCAGTGCTGTGCTGATGCTCAGCAATATGCAGCCTTCTCTCCGAAACAGCATCTCACTGTCTGTGATTGCATGAAGTGTCTGTCTGTGCTGGGATCTGGAAAACACAGTTCTCTTGTAGCATAAAATGTATCACGTAAGTGGTTCTGCTGGGTGAAAAATGCTCTGAGGAGCCATGGGTTCTGTTGAAAGGCATAGGCTGTGCAAGCTCTGCTCACCCCGAAAGCAAACATAAACCTTCTGGAGCTGCTTCCTGCTTCATTAATAGTGTGGACTTTGGCTGCTGAAAGATAGGCAAATTAAAGCCAGTGGCTGCTTTTAACACTGTGGATCACGATATAGTGCTGCAGTAGCTCAGAAGAAGAGAAGCAGTTTCTTCTCTGTCGCCAGTCTAGTTGAGTGTTGTTAGGTAGTTGCTAACAAAAATGAAAAGAGAAGGTCTTTGTAAATAGTCTGAGATTAAAACTGGGAAACTGAGACGGGTGTAGTCTCATGTTTCTCGTAACGCTGCCACTTCACTTTCAGCTAATGGAAAGACCAGATTCCAGGCTGGTAAACTAGGTGAAGTAAGGAAAACACCCCTTGATTTCTCAGATGTTTTTGTATGGCTGAAGATAATATGTGTCTTTTTCTTTCTTTTTTGAATACGATACGTAATTGGGAATAAAACACCTCAAATATTTTAAATGTATTTTTCTATTTCTGTCAAATAAAGGGCCATCTAGTTAGATAATGCAGCCCACATTTTCACAGTTAGTTTATCTGTTCAAGCTAATTTTTGACATGTTTTAGTGTGATCATTGGTAAAGATCTGTCTTCTCTTTTTGATTGTATGAGGGTCTATTATATTAAAGTCTGATGGTGATGGAACATCACAGTGGGAAAATCTCTGTGCAGGGATTTCCAGGTGTCGTGAACTGTTACCTTCTATTGTGATTTGCATCTCTGGGGTATTTTTCCTTTCCCTCTCTGCTCTAGGCTGGTGTGATCTCTGTGGCCTTCCAGGCATCTGCCAAAGGTGTCTTCTGCATCAGGCTGGAGCTAAGGTTTCCCTCAATGGAGAGTGTGTCCATAGTAGCAAATCAAAGAGAGCTTGGGTGTTAGGCTGAGATCTGGCACATGCTTGGCCCCATCATTGTCAGCTTTGGGCATTGGTGTGGCTTCTTTGGGCCAGCTGGCATTTTCCTGAGCCATACCTGGACATTATTTAAAGGTGGCAAATGTCAGGTCTAAAACTTGTCGAGTTTTAGAAGTTTCTGTCTAAGCACATGTTGGGATGGATATTTTTATGCAAAAATTTTTATGCAAATATTTAATTACAAAATAAATCTAATGTACAGTCAGTATTTTATGTATTAATAGACATACTTAAAAGTAACATTTTGAAGTCAAATTTGTGCCATTTTTGCTTTACTGTTAGTATGAAAGAAAAATAGATTCTCAGTAGGTGGAGGTTATGGAAACTCCTCAAGAGATTTTTCACTAACGTAATTCAGAAGCTCTGTTTTTGACCTTGTGATGTTGCAGCCTGTCTTGCCAACAAGGATCCAGTCCTAGCAGTGTGTAATGCTATTAATGGGACTGAATCACTATTGCTCATTGGGAAAAACAGCATAAGAAATGTTAGGTTTGAACTTCCTGGCTTAAAAAATTACCCCATTTAGTCTTATTTTTGGTCTTTATACTGAAAAAGGGAAAAAGAGCAAGTGTTGGAAGCTGATTTATGTACATAATGGTAGCCTTACTAGTTACAAGGAACCTATTGCTCGTTTCTTTTGAGCTTATTCCAACTGAAATGATCAGAGGAGCCACCATTTGGAGCACTTAGCAATTATTCAGCCTGGAAGTAATGACAGGACACTGTATTTAAACATAAATAATTCATTAGTAGAGTTTTCACACATACATGCATGAATTTCTTTGGGAAAGACCTTTGCTGTCCTACACCTACAAGACAGTACAACTTTTGATCTTCATCTTTGTAACTGAATGTGTTGGGGTACTTCATTTTTGCAAAGAATTGACACTGTGTTGCAAATCAGTGACAGAACTAGTAGCTTTCTGAATTGCAGGGAAGAAAAATACAAAAATAAATTCTGAAGTTAGGTGAAAGGAGACTTTATGAAGGGTTTCAATCCACGTGGTTTAATTTTAAAATAAAAATAATTTAGAACTAATCACTTGTTGCATATTAAATGGTTATAAAGGCATTAAAGCAAAATTTCAGAAGAGTAAATAAGAAGTTTTTACTTATTTCAAACTTGGTTTGTCATTTTTGAAAGATAAATCTTGCATAAATTTTATTTTCCATCACTGTGTGCCAGAATGGAGCCAAGATAATGACTGGCTGCAACTAATTGTTAGATATGTAGTTTTACTCAGGAAAATAAACTGAACACCTAACATGTAGTATTTAAACAAGAGTAAAAAAGAGTTAAGGTAGAGTTGAAGTACTTGAGTGATGTATTTGATGACATCAGTCTGAAAGTATTTGTATTTTTTGGATGCTAAAAGCATTTCCTTGACTCTGGTCATTTGGCCAGTGTGGGATACATGTTCTGCACAGGTACATGCAGTGATTAATAACTTTCTGTGGGATCTGTGTTTGGGGAGGTGAGTGGAAAGCATGACCAAGAGGCTGGTGTTCTTACCACTCTCTGAAACTTTCTGTGTTCTTCTTAATACATTTCTGTGGATGTTCTTAATTAAAAGCACACAGTGGTTTTGGCAGATGGAGCCTTCTTGAAGCTTTGGCTGCAGAATTTCCTTGTTGTGTGAGGGTTGGTGCTGGAGAGGCTCCTTTGACGTATTTCACTGCTAGAATGAATGTTGGCTGGCTTTGTATGGACAGGTCTTAAGTGACATGGGCAAGTTTATAAAAATGATCTGCTAGTTTGACTTTCTCTGTTTAGCCATAGGATTTTTTTTTTTCTTTTTGCTGAGTTACCAGGTTATACTGAGCTAAAATTTTCTTTTATTTAGCAAAGCAAATGACACTGAGGGTTGATAATGGGTGTGCATTTAAAGTAGCATCTGCTGTGCAATGTCTTTTCAGACAATGGTCTCGCCTGTTTCAATTTGCTCTTCCCTAACAAGCGACCAGCACTTTAAATGGGTAATGGTAAATATTTCCTTCAAGTCTCTGAAGGAATATAGGCTTTCCTGGAAGAGAAAAGGAAAACGAAAGCTGCTTTTATAGACGTGATTTCTTCCACAAATCTGAGTAACTGTGTACACTTGAGGTTCTACTTTTGTTTTTATTTCTTTCTGTGACAAAAAGGCTGCTTCTTTCCTTTCAGTGACAGAATCGTACAAAGCTACTTTGTATCTGCACTGCTTATATGAGATGGACGATAATTGTCTCTTGGAAATTATGAACTTCTTAAATACATACAGTTCCTGGTAGTTGTCATCAAATTATTCTTGACTTAGGATTTGTAAATAGGAGATGCATCACTGAATGTAGCAATATTGGATTTAACTACACTGAGGTCATCAAGAATTAACATGTTAAAATGAAAACTTTGTGACATAAACTTTTCCCCCATTACTGTTGCTGTTTTTTCTAGTTTTATACAAAACTAAGGGAGAGGTTTTCCTCAACCTGTAGTATGGGCATGCCTGTGAATTTGAAAAAGTTTGAAGGTCCCATCATGCTGTTCTCCAAAGGTTTTGATAGTTTGCTGGATAGATATTACTGTAAAAATTGTAAATTCTGTTTGTGAAAACTCAGGAAAAACAGTAAAGACACTTTAAAGAGTGCAGATGAAATTTCAGTCTACTTCATTACATATTCAGAACTACATTTGCTGTGTTAAAAACATGAAATCATACAAATATTTGTTATAAGAACTTGACAGCTTAATGAAAATCTTTCTGATATACACACCTGTAAAAAATCAGTAGTGTCTATCTAACAGAAGAAAATTAAGTCTGTCAGTTATGGACATTAGTGTTTTAATATAAAGGATATTTGAAGGAAAAGGAAAAAACTTCAGTATAGAAGACTTTTTTAATAGAAAGACTGCATTTTTCTGGAGGAAAAAGTTTTCAATCACATATCAAAGGCTTGCCAGGAAACCTGGAGATACAGAAGCTTTTCAAAGAAATACCTTAAAAGTGTTTCACAGTGGATAGTGCACTTGGCATTCCATGAGGATATTGGCACATCAGCAGCTACATCAGCTAGGGATGCTGTGCTGGGCTTTTAGTGCTTTCCCAGGCTTTGTCCCATGTAGGATCCTGCATTGCTCCAACAACCAAACTGTCACAGGGAACAGCGACTCCATAAACTGGCTGGTGATTCACCCTTTTCTGGAAGGCTTGGAATAAAACTTGGAAGAGAAATAGTCTTACCCTTTTTCTCTGGGGAAATAAGAAATTGTCAGTAGATGGGAACTTCTCCATCCTGTCACAAGGACTTTTCTTCCATATGACTCAAATTCATGTCCTTGAGCTTCCACTCTGGGGCCAGTAACTGCTCCTCCCTTAGTGATAGCAGAGTATTTAGGA